CAATTTAAAATAAATTTGTTTTAAAATTGAAAAAAAAAATGTTAAAAAACGCGCAAGGTAAGAATATTTAAAGTAGTTCTTTTGAACTGGGCATGCACGAAAAAAAATTTGAAATAATTTTTTCATAATTTTAAAGTGAATCGTATTTAACAACTAATGAAAAAATTTTTATTTAAATATCTAAAAAACGTAAAAATTTCTAGGTAGTTTTTGTATTTTTTAAAAGAAAATTCAAAACGATAGGGGATTTAATTTTATTTTTGCGATTTTATTTTACTTTTGCTGTCCAGTCATAGGTAGAATAATTTGCAATACTACATAATAAAATTTATGAAAAACCCCTGATTATTTTGAGTTTTCTTTTAAAAAGTACAAAAACTACCTAGAACATTTCTTGAAACTTTTAACATTTTTAAGATATTTAAATCAGATTCTTTCCATTAGTTGCCAAATACGATACACTATAAAATTAAGAAAAAATATTTTTTTATTTTTTGTCGCGAATGCGCTATACGAAAGAACTACTTTAAATATTCATATCTTGCATATTTTTCAATTTTTTTTTCATATTTTAAAACAATAATTTTGTAATTAATTTTAAATTGTTTAAAAATATTGTTTGATTTTCACTGAATATTTAAGTTATAGCAAAAAACATAAGAGAAAAATTGATCTTCTGGCATAGGGTGTATAAACATACTTGTTTTCTTCATAATTTATTGTCGGTCTCTTAAACCTCTGAAAGCTTTAAGTTTTATTGCAAAGTATGTAAAATAACATGTACTAAATACTTCTAAATTTACGAACAAAAAAAGTTTTCTATTTTTTTTTTTTTTTTTGAGTAATTCAAAAAATTATCAAAAACTGAAAGCGGTAGGTTAGTGTTTATAAAAGGTTTGTATAATGCAAGGTAATATCTCAATTTTAATAACACAATACATTGTCGAGAAATATTTATAATTCAAGATTTATCGCGATGGTTCTCAATTTAACTAATTTACATCAGTCAATATTTTCTAACCAATATGAAATTTTACAACCTTCACGCAGTGGTGTGCAAGGGGAGGGGGGGTGAAGAATGCAATAACCCCAATCAAAGAGGGAGTTCAATCGACGACTAAGAATACGGAAACATTAAAATATATTATCTATATTTATAAATTAAATTTTTCGTCAGAATTAATCAGTTAAATCAGAAGTTTAATACTTTTCCAGTACGTTTTATGAGAATATAAAGTTTGCAAGCCTAAACGCAGTTACAAGTCGATTTGTCTCGAAGAGGCAGATAGAGAAAGCCTTGGCCTGCACTAGGCTGTAGTGCTGTTAAAGGAGAAGAAAATTGAATAGCGTAGTAGAGGAAAGCTCCAAGTAACATTCTAAAAAAGAGTAAAATGTTGGGCTTTATAAACATGTTATGGTCAGTTGCATATTATGCATAAGTTGAGATCTATAACTTAACTTTTTTTCTGCAAGGTCATTAAATAAATGGGTTTTTATATGAAAAATATGTTTTGCAAGCAGCTTCCTCTTGTTAATAGATTTTATGAAGGGTAATAGGCTTTAAAATGCGTTTAGAGCCTTTTCCCATCAAGCTACTTAATAAAATAAAAAAACTATGAATTTTAATTGTCCCAAACAGAATAAACAGGGAAAAGCCATTATTGTGCGTGTTCTTATTCATTTTCTTCTTTTAAAAAAATAATCTCAATCACTTCTAGAATCAGAGCTAAAAAGTATAAACGTCTTGTTGAAAAAATATCAAAAGAACCATTATGAAAATAAAACCTTTAAAGAAACTCGTTTAAAAAGTTGCTTTCTTTTCTACTTTTCAGTTAAAAAAAAAAATAAGATAATGCTCTTACCATGCCCGCAAACGTGGTTTCTAACATTAAACTTTTTTTTTTTTTTAAAGAGAGATAAAGCGGGTCACTTTACATAATGGACCATTCTAACCAACTTTTTAATATGAACTATATTAAGGAAATTTCGCTTTAAAAAAAATTACGCGCAAAAAGTTTAACTTTTCTTTCATAATGAGGCACATAGTACAATCATTTTCAATCAGGAAAAAAAATGAAAATAGTTTAGACTGTAACAAAATATGGCTCGCAAAATATTTAACTAAAATTTTAAATTACGTGAATTTTTTCCAAGCAAAGTAAAAATAAAATTATTTATATCTGTTTACTTAATTTGTAACAGTGAGTGAACAATAGCCAACAAGAAAAAAAATTGTTTTAATAATCAGATTTTTACGAAATAAGTGCAAAGCTTAAAGATTCAAAGGGGTGAATTCAAACATGGTAATCAATAAGTGCTATCTGTTAATTAAGTTAAAAAGATCAGATAGAAAAACGCACTTTCTCTGAACGGATTTTTCTCTAAGAGAGCGATCGATAGTTTGGGCCTCTGATTGATAAATATTTACTTTCTGCATATTTCGCTAAGGGATATTTTTATGCCATCGAAAACTTTTTGGCACACACAAATTAGTTTATCTAAGGATGACTCCATATAAAAATAATTTTGAATAATTACTTATTTTATTGAAAAAGGGTCAGAGATTTTTGGGATTTGCATGATAGGTAAATTTTTACGCCTTTTTATTTAAACTATGTAGTTTTAAACGACAAAATGCAAAATTTAACGAAATCGGTCGAATATTTGAACGAAACGAATCGATAAAATTGAATGTTTCTTCAAAGAAAGTACGTTTTCGATGCATCTGCCATCTACTAATTAGTACTAATTAATTGGCATAGTTGAACCATTACAGCACCCTTGAATCATTAAGTAAGGTTCTCAGTAAGCAAAATTTGTTCATTAAAAAACACAAATTATTCAGTGTGATATTTTATCCCCACTATTGCGTGTGAAACACGCCCTCCAGAATATTCATAAAGGTTATTTGCTATTTATTTATTTTTCAGCAATTTTACAAAAACAATTTCAAAAAAATAACCTCAATATTAAATAAATAATGAATTATTGGTAGGAGGCACACCTGTTACATGTTTCAAAAAATATTTGCTGGTTTAAAAAAATCCTAACATACGGTACCCTTGTAACCTTTCCAAGGAACCCTAGGGTACTGTGGACCACCATTTGAAAAAATCTGCCTTAATCCTCTCTATTTTACATCATTTTGAATAACAAAAACTATAATCAAATTTTTTTTATTGATTTCACAAGTAAAAAATTGTTAAATGAAATAACATAGTGCACAGCCAAATCTTTCAACAAAAAATAAGCACCTTTTCAGTACTTAAAAATATTTTTAAGCATTATATAAATTAACAAAATGCAAAATAATTTTCAAAGACTTTACATGATCATGATAAAATAACAAGAACAAAGAACTCTTTTTCTCGATTACATTAGCCACCATGAAAAGATAGAGAGATTTTTCGGTTCGATTTCAGAGGGAGGAAAATCAAGTTGGAAATTGAGAATCCCTTGCAAAATGCAGCCGAGTTGCACATGACAGTGCAAGAATAATTCTCTCTGAATCCAGCTCAGTATATGAAACACAAGCATTTCATCAAACATGTAAATTGATTGACACTTTCATATGCTACGGAAAGACAGTATGCCAAAATGCATTTTGTTTGAATGATTTGTGAAAACGTTGAATAGAACAATGTGAAAACCATGCTTTTGCATAATATGTGGCGAAAATCAACATGGTAAAGAAAAAAACAGTATCATATTCGAAAAGGGAGAATTAAGCACTTTTTAAAAACACCCAATATAAAAAGCACCTTTAAGGGCTTTTAAAAATGAAAAAAAGGCATGCTTAAGCACTTTTTAAAAAAGCTATGCACCCAGTTAAACTTACATTTACAGCACACAACAACTTTGTGCAACATTTTAATACAATCAGATGAAAATTGTGGAATGTGTTGGCTTGTAAGAGGGCTATAAATTATAGTTTTGTATAAAAAATATTTCAAGTTTTTAGTTACATAATGCCAAATGACAACACTTGCTCACTCATAAGTGATCAAAACAAGAAAACAAACTGAGTTTTCTTATCACCATTTTAGAAAGTTAAAACTACATAAAAAAAATTATTTTCAAAGCATTCCTTTATTTTGATCAACTTACTGGATATTCGTTTAAAAGTCAATTAAATTTTAATAGAGATTATAAAGTAATAGCAGAACTGATGTTATGTGTGTAGTGAAATGAAATACATGAAATATTCTAAGGAATAATGAAATAAATATTTTAATTCAAAAGATAAGATATGAATAGATTCTTTTCGAGACAGACTTTCGGCTTCTTTTAAAATACTAAAGCAATCAATATCTTACAATTGCATGAAATTTATAAGGCAATTTTAAATTTCACAGTTTAAGAACATAAAGTTTTCAAGATAAAATATTTGGTAAAATTTGAATTTAAACTCAGAATGATATCAAGTAAACACAAACTATCCTGAATAAAACCAAAGTGAATATTGCACAGTAACTGGCATACGGTTCAGTAAACTAAAGCCTTCCTCAGTGTCAAAACACAGAAGAAAACAAGAGACAAATAAATTACAGCGTGGAAAGAGTGATTTAACTTAATAGGGAAGGAGGTTGGAGCTTAAACAAGATAACCAAATAAAGGGAAATTTAAAAAAAAAGAAGGAAAAAAAACAGGTGTGTAGGCAAAGTAGGGTGAGAACCCCAAATAAGCGAAATGTAGAAATTAAAATAAAATTTCAAATGTTAGGAAAACATGAAATTCAAGCTTGTTCCTCCTCTCCTATTGCTTAAACCACCTTTTTCCTTGTTATATCTTGCTTGCCTCACGTTTTGTTCTGTCATTCTGGGTTTCTGCACTGAGGAAGGCTCTTGCTTATAGAACTAAAACTTTAGTATGTCTGTTTTTGTAACATTATCTGTGCTTTATTCACATTGTTTAGCTCGATTCATGTGTATCACAATATATACCTTATCTTTATAAAGACAAATTTTCAGTTTTAATTGATAATAATGAGGAACATAAAATGCATAAATATATTATTTTTATTAAAAAAAAGACAAAAAACAATTTTTCAAACAATCATTCAAAATTAGAAATTTCTCAACAAACATTCTTGCATTTCATCTTCTTTAATACCTTTACTAATGTCCTCTACTTTTTTCTTTTAGTTTAGCAACAAGAATCTCATTCTTTCTACATTCCTATAAAAATCAAAACAAATAATTCAATACCAATGCATGAAATTTATGAACTGAATGTTAAAGACAGTAAGACATGAACAGGGAGCATAGCCAAATCTTTCAACAAAAAATAAGCACCAAGTACTTTTTAAGCACTAAAAAAATATTTTTAAGCACTATATACATTAAAAAAATGCAAAATAATTTTACATGACTATCGAATCATGAATAGACTTTACATGATTATGATAAAACAACTAGCTTCTGACAAAGAACTCTTTTCTTGATCATATTAGCCACCATAAAAATATCGAGAGATTTTTCGGTTTGATTTCAGAGGGTGGAAAATGAAGCCTGAAATTGAGAATATCTTACAAAATGCAGAAGAGTTGCACATGAGAGCGCTAGAATCTCACCGAACTCAGCTCAGTAAACGCATATGCGGACTCGCAAGTATTTCATCAAACAAGTAAAATGATAGACTCTTTCATAAGCTATGGACCCATAGTAGACCAAAATGGATTGTGGTTGAATGATTTGTGAAAACGTTGAATAGAACAATGTGAAAAGCACGCTTTTGCATAATATATGGCAAAAATCGACATGGTACAGAAAAAAAATCTCATTTTCGAAAAGAGAAAAATTGAACACTTTTTAAAAACACCAAATGAAAAAAGCACCTTTAAGGACTTTTAAAAAACGAAAATCAAAAATAAGTACCTTAAAGCACTTTTTTAAAATACTACACACCATGATGAATGTATATTTTATTATAACATATTACTACAATTTACATTTCTGAAAGAAGAAAAATTTTAAAAAATTTGAATATAGAAAGCTAATACTACAAGATTAAAGAATTAAGATTTGTTGAATCTGTCTTAAGATATTTTATTCAGCTGACAAATATAAATTTAGTTGTAGTTTCTTAATTTTTTAAAAATTCAACTTTCAACCCTCAAAACATTAAGTGTTGGATGAATAAATTTATTCTCTATATGCCACTTCCTAATAAATACTACAGAGTGAAACCAAACTGTAATACAGAAATTAATCAGGTGAAATGGCGAAAAGTTCTGGGTTTACTCTTATGTTTAACACTGCATTTTTTACTATTTTGTGTAAAAAACAGCAAACAAACATGTTTCTGGAAATCAAACAATAAAATTTAGGGTCGTACCTCTTTGAAGTCTTTAACAGTCTTGAAATAAAGTCTTTGCTTTTCTATTAAGTCAACAAGGTGATCATTAAGTTTATCCCGCTGGTCTTTAAGTTCAAGTTTTTTCTTTTCAACCTAAAGTAATAAAATATTACATTACATAAATGATCACTAGAAAATAACTAATGCAAACTATGACTGAAGTTCCAAATTGTATTTTCAATACTTGTTTTTTTTAAATAGATATATTTTAATATTCAAGTGATTGTACCCAAGTTGCCTGAAAGTTAACATTAAAAAAAATTTCTTTTAAGCTTCGCTCAGTGAATTTAAATGTTAAAAGTTATATAAGTGTTAAAATGTGAACATTAGTAGACTTGAGTAAGGAAGGAGGAAAAAAAATTAAGAAATACTCATATTGGTTCTTTTTAATATTGTAACTTTATCTACTAACTATATGAAAAATTTAAATTAATCTAAAATCAGAAAAATAGATATCTATAGCCCTGAGTGATATTGGAATTTAATTTAAATAGGGTCAGAAAATATTAATATGTTACAACATTTTCAATATAACCAATTTACGTTTAGTTTATATTAGACAATTTTCCTGCCGAAATGAAGAAGAAGAAAAAGAAATTTTTTTTCTAAGATACTTTTAATAATCATTATTAAAAAAAATAATAACTGGGTAATTACAAACATTTAAAAGTGTATAAATTAAGAGATAGGAAAAAACTATTTTTTTTTAAATATTGGTTAGATCACAAGAAATTGAATATGTTTTAGCCTAATTAACTTGGTCAGTATATGTCCCTCAATTTTGTGCATAATTTTGTATTGTTAATCAATACTGATTTATTGATTATTCACTTTCCCCCCCATTCCGTAGGAAGAATTTGTACTCGGCTAGTATTAATAAAAATAAAATATAAAGCTGTAACATAAAAAATAAAAATGTGTTACAGAAATTAAAGTATTTATTAAAAATAAATACTAACTTTAGCCTTATTCTGGATAATCCTTTCAACAATTTGCTCTAATTTAGTTAAAAATTCTCCTCTAGATGATGAAGATGACATTGCTCTAAGGTCAAATTAAAATCAGCAATCAGTATATGTTTAGAGCATCATGAAAATAAAGTACTTAAATGATAAATACTTACTCAGTAAAATTCTCTTGAATAGAATTCAATAAATCCACCTTGGAAAAACAAAACAAACAAAAATATTAAAAATAAAATTATCAGTCTTTATCATATCTTTTAGGCAAAATACAACTAAATAAATATTTATTCTGAAATAGATTTCAGTCACGAGAATTTAAAATTTCTTTTTGCAACCAATAGTATTAAATGTCTCTTTATAATATTAAGCAAAATTTTATACAGTGTAAAGTCTGCTAAAGTTAAGATGCCATCTCAATAATTTGAAGGATTAAGCTTAAATGTGATTAAATATTTGTGCAGATGATATTTTAAACTACAAAATCAGGCACGGGAACATTCTTTCTCTAAATAAACATAGTCTTGTTTCAATCGATTTGGATCCTTAACCATCAAAATATAGGGGAGGGTAGTCGGAAGTTTGGGCAACATAATGTTAATTTCACTTTTACTTATTTCACCATATCTATAAAACTATTTGAGACAATCGAAACTTTATTCACGCAATTATAAAAATTGTAAAATAAAATTTTATAATTATTTATTATTTTTATTATCAATTTTAATAACAAGCCAAAGTATTTTGAATCATAAGGTATGCAGAGTTCTTACATTATTTTAAACATTGTAATTTTAAATAAAAAAAATCCAAAATTTTAATGCAATTATTAAAATAGTTCTTAAGAAATGAAAATTTAAAATTGTTTTCCTTGATACTATTCAGTATGAAAATAGGGAAATTCAGGCTGCATGTTATAGTTCAGTCCCTTATATCAAAAATTATTAAACTTCTTTTTTATTTATTCGTTCTACATACTGTATAAAACATATTTCATCTGTATCGCTGCCCAAATTACATTAATAATGGGACAGCCATTTCATCTGATGCTACTCAATTTGATTTTAAATTAGTTATGCAAATTTTTTAAAGTCTAACTTATAATGCACATGTTTCATAACCACTCCTAATTTAAAGAAAAAATCTGATGTGTGTCCGCAAATTTGAGTAACAAAATACACCTTTGTACAAGAAAGTGGAAATTTTGTGAACGCAAGAGATGAAGAACATTAGCCTTACATATTTTCCAGGAAATAAAAGTGTTTCTGTGTTTAAGTGATGTAAGGCCCTTGCAAATTCATGTAAGAATAAAACTTTATTTTTAAAATTTAAATAACGGGATGATTTTTTAACAAACAAGATAATCTATTCCATATGAACATGAAATGCTCTTAAATTTTTAGTAAAACAAATAATAAATTCTTGCACATAATATTAAAAGCAGAACTTACACTTAGCATTAAAGTTGTGACATATTAGATATCAATAATTAATAATTTAAATAACTCTTTCTATCATAAAAAGATAATTGACTTCTTGTCACTTTATGGATCAACTCAATGGGCGTAAAAATCACTTTAAATAATCATTAATAAATAAAAGTAATAAATCCAGATATTGTGTGTTGCAATCAGATAAAATAATAAACGTTGTAACAATATTAATCTGTGAATTATTTACTTATCCCTAATTGAATGGTATTTACAAGTAATATCTATTCATTCATTCTTCGTAACATTATTATATTTTTTTAATTTATTATTCAAAATTAAAGGCATAAAAATATAAGAGTTATTATTTTACTATAATATAATAACATGATATTACCTTATTTTGCTACATTTTATGATAATATATTTAGTTATGATTTTACAGTTATTCAAAGATAAATTAGTTACATTTACTTCTATTAACACATTTCCTGGAAAATTATACTCAGTTATTATGTACAGCTAAAATATTGAAAACAAAATAAATATTTAAAATTCTAAAACAATATGAATTAATTTTAATACTTTTGTTAAATAACCAATTAAATAATATTTTATATAACCAAACCAAATAACTAAAATAATATTTAATGAATTTTCAAAGTATCCAAAATTCAAATAAGAATATAAAAACATATTTATGGATAAAATTGCAATGGTAATTATTATGTTTAAATTTTATCCCAATAGATTCAGAAACTAAATCAGTGTATATGTGTAAGAAAATTTTGGGATCTTTTAATTGAATATATTTTTTTAAATTTGGTGATACCACAAAACAAATATGATTGTAAAGCAAACATGGGTTTTTTATGAAGAAAGAATCAGTTGAAAGAACTTTTTAGTAATAATAATAGATATATTGAAGAATTTAAAATAAAGAAGATACAGCATACCTCCTTGGTAATATACATTCTTGTATCCTCCAATGTATTGTACAAAGTATAAAATTGTTTTGTTTCTTTATGCTTAGCTGCCACTAAAAAATAAAAGTTACAAAATATTTAATACATAATAGATTAATAAGCGAAAAATGCAGACAGGCAAAACAATTTTAATCTATTTACGGGAAACCTTAAGTTTAGATAAAAAGAAAAGGAAGAAAAAACTTTAATTTCGAAAATGATGAATTTATCTTCAATTTTGAATGAAATATTTATTACTTTTTTTTTCCACTCACCTTGATTATATAATTCAACAAAACGTTTCTGATACTGACTCAACTCGGCTCTTGAAGGAACTTCATCAAATTTTCTTTGAATGACAGCTATTTCTTTGTTTTTTCTAGCCTAAAATGTATGTAGTGCATTAGATTTTGAAGAAAAATTAAACTAAAATGTAATTAAGTGATTAATTTAATAATTCAATTAGGTATCAATTCAACTTAATAGGCTTTTAACAATTAAAAAAAATATCTGAAATGTAAGATTTATTTTCTAAATACTATATAGCCAAAATCCTATAATAAAAGCAGAAACAAAATTAATAACAATAATAATATGAATCATCATCACCATAGTTGGCCAGACAGCTCAATGTGAGCCAATGCCTTCCTAATAACATGAATATGATGAGTGAAACTAATACTCTTTAAGGAAATATGAAGTTTGTGAATACAAATACAGTCGGACCTCTATTTAACGAAGTCACTAAATCCTGATAATAAGTTCGTTATTTGGAAAATTCGTTAAATAGAAAATCACCTTCTAAAATACATAAACAACACAAAACAGGTTTTAAATTCATGAACACTAGGCATTAATTGATGCACCGTTATCTTGCAAACTAGTATCTACTATTTATCTAATAAATCTTAATCATAAAAGAAATTTGCATGGAAAGCAAGAATAGAGCAAAACATTATCCAGTGTTACACTATTATGCTCAGTGTTTTCATCGCAGAAAAAAAATGGGTGAGAATTTCTCACTCTTCCTCAAAAACAGGGTGAGATTTCAAAAAGTTAAGTAAGATTTCTAAAAATTAAAAAAAAAAAAACACACACACACACACACACCAAGAAACTTGGAAAAAATANGAAATATGAAGTTTGTGAATACGAATAATATGGTGCTTATGCCAAAATTACTGCAAGCAATAAGACATTTGTCCTTCCTCAAAAATAAAACTTCACTAAAAATTTAATCATAAAAGAATTCCTAATATTATCAAATAATCATTCTGTGGGAATTATTCAATAATTTTTTATTAACATTTAAAGTACACATTGTGTAAATTTAGGTTTTCTCACTGTCACTGATTAGAACAACTCACATAAATGTACATTTTTTGTTTGAATTTTCAGAATAAGTTTTTCATTTTATGTATGTTTTTTGGTGAGGGGGGCATTTTTAAAGTGGTAGCAAAAATAATAAAAATATAAATGTTTTAAATTGTTTGTATCCACAGAAATTAATGAAAAAGTTAATAAATTAAAAATACCTGGAAATCAAGTAAGGCAAAGCAGATTAAGCCTGCCTGTCAATGTGACATACAGGTCAAATGATGAATAACTTAAAGATGAAGTATGAATCTGAATAATGATAAATAATTTTAAGATAATATATTTATTATGAACAGTAACAAAAGAAAGGATAAAAAAAATATTTTAAAAAGACTTTATTAATACCAAAAATTATATTTAATAATAGCCAAAAAAAAAAAGCTTTGAAATAGTTCTTAAAATTTATTTACTTTATTAAAATTTGCAACAGAATTATGCCAAAGAACTGATACAAAAATTCATTCCTTAATTTAACAATTAAATTTTTTCACTTTCCCGAAATCTGTAAAAAGGAAAAATGGAAATATTATCCAGTAAAAAATGCACAAAAAACTTTTGAAATGTAGTTTAATTAACTTAAATTATTGAAATGTAGTTTAGTCAAATTCCATCAACAGAAATAAAATAGAGATACTGTTCTAGAGAAATAAAATAGAGATACAAAGTCTAAACGAAATAAAATGGAAATTATTATAAAGAATAAAAACATTATACAATGCATTTAAACTGAATACAATTGACCAAACAAAAGATATTGAAATACACTATGTGTAGTAAATGTTCATTGAATCTATGTAAATGATAAAAACTTAATATCATAAAAACATTATGACATTTATATTTACTAAATATAAATAAATAATTGGTGATTTTAATGAAACTATCACACCAAAATAGTAGTATGTAGTATAATTAATAATTATTTTATCAGACTTAGCAGATAAAATAATAAAAGTAGTCTTGTTCTAGAGTTTAAAAGGAACTTTTTATTAATACTAAAGACTTTTTCTTTTTATAAACATAAATAAGGATATAAATAGTATAGAGAGTAAGAGAGATAATTACAAATAGTATATTAGTAAATAGTAGATAATTACATATAGTATATTACAAATAGTATAGAGATAATTACAAATTTAGAAAATTAGACAATTTTTAACAACTTACTAAAAGCATTCTTATTTTTTGTAGTTTTTCTTTATCTAAATTGTACTGTTTTTCAACCATCTCTGTGTGTTCCTGCAAAAAATATTTGTGGTTACTAATTTTTTTGTTGCATCTATGACTTATTTTAATAATACACTGAATAAAAATGTATTAGAAAATAAATATTATATTTTATAATGTTTGTATAGCAAGACTGGAAGATGATTGAAATTTTTTAAAGAAAGTTTATCACAAGGTATTATATATGCTATTTTTTTCATATTTAAATAAAGTAACTGTTTTTAAACAAAACTTAGTCATAGGTAAACAGAATTTGACAAAGCTTTTAAAAAAACCATTAAATGTGAGTAAAATTCTGACAAAAGCACATTTTTGTGTGATTTTTACTGATTTTATTTTAGACTTTACCTTCTGCTAATATCTGGTACAGTGAGTGCACCAAAGGGTTAATGCTCAGTAAAATTATTCATTTTGGTGATTTATATTTAGTTCAATTTTAGGTATTTAAATATTACTACAGTACAGAACCCGTTATCTGGAAATCAGAAAACCCAAAAACCGGAACGAAATTCGATAAATTTTCCCGCCATTTTTTTTAAAAAATTTTTTTCCTCGTAAAATTTTAGGACTTTTCTTTCTTTTTTGAAAGATGTTTACCTTACCATCACTTTGGAAATAATCATTAGTGTATTACTTCATTATATTTTTTCTTCTTTTTAAGAGTATTTCCAAATATTTTTTATTTTTTTTAGTTGGGTTTAACAATAAAAAAAACGGCTTTTTGTAGCTATTCAGAAGACCGGAAAAATCAGTTAACTGGAATAGCGATGGTCCCGATCGTTCCGGATAATCGGTTCCCTACTGTATTATTAATACATATGCATCAAAAAAAAAATTTTTTTTTTGCACTTTAAAGTAGTTTTTATCTGAAAAAAAATTTTTTTTTTAAAATTAATATCCTTTAATTAATTCACTGAAAAACTGTTATAAATAAATACAAATTAGTCACATCAAAATTATCCTACATAAAAATAACTTTTTACTACTAGATTCTGGGAGGGAAGAAATTGAAAGGAAAGTTCATTTTTAGAATTTTGGGCCTATTCCTATTTATGTAGAATTTATAAGAAATATATCATTTTATAAAAAATATAATTTCAATATTATTCTTAAAAAATTTTGCATAATGGGATGCAGGAGAATCAGTTTCATAAAATAAAAAAAGCAATGCAACGATTTAAAGAATGAAGAAAATATATGTCATTTCATTTTTTTTATCAATATGCATACAGTTCCATTAAAAATCCAATATCTATATAATTTACACGTCATCTTTTATTTACTTAGCACTGTAATTATTAAATATTATTTTTTTGCTTTTCTTATACATAAAAACAGCACAAAAAATATTAAAAAGAAATCTTACTGAAATACTATATTAAGTATGAGTGTTGTAACTTTAATATTGTCTTTAAATGTAGTCACCAGCATTGTGCGAGTGATATTTGTAGGAAGAGTTTATTTTCTCTATTACACAGCCTCTCTATAGTAATGTTTCCACTATTAAAATTCCAAACTTCATTAAAAAGGCTTAAAATTAAGAAGAAAAAAATGCTTTAATTTGTCGACTTAACATAAAAAAATTAAATTTATTAAAATAGATGCATTACATTGTCTTCAGATGTTCCTTGTTCCGAAGATGCTTTTAATTCTTCAATTTCCGATTTTAATCTAGCAAGCTCTTCTTTACAATGAGCTCTGAATTCCTGCTCTTGTTTCTTTAGAGTTTCATTTGTAGCTACAAGGGATCGAAGTGTTTCTAATAAACTGAAATAAATACAAGAGAATAACAGTCATCTACGCAGAATTCTTAAAAATATTTAGGTTGTTCCAAGATGTGAATAAGCATTAAATCAAAATACCAAACCAAAATGATACAAACAATAATCTTAATATTAATAATAAATCAAAGTTTATAATTTTTCATAATAATAATCAATTAAAGTTTAGAATTCAATTCATAACATTAATGCTGAATATTTATGACTAAAGTTACATTAATATTTTTTACTACTATGCTATATATCTAAGAATGCCTTATCCAAATTTTTCTTAAATAATTTCTTATTAAACTAAAAGGAAAATGATAAAAAAAAAATAATATAGAAAACAGATAATAAGAAATAATAAAAAATAAAAAGACTGAAGATTTTAACTTCTGTCAAAGTTATTTTAAAATAACAATTACTTGGAACTTCTGTTACCATGATATAAAGTAATCGTTATATATTGTTAACAAGAAAAATTGCTTCTCATTGCGTCACACACTCAGTGTTCCTAAATTTAAAATTCATTTTTAAAGTTTTAACAAAATGATCTTACATAAAATTACATAATTTTATTAACAAACTTGACTTTTAAAAAAAAAGAACTATTAAGAGACGAAAATGATGAGTGAGAAGTAACCATGGGGCTAAGAGTGGAAGGAGGCAGCGGATGGTGCCATTTAAAAATTAAAATGACTATAGAACAAGGTTGATTAAATTATTCTCATATGGGATTTAAAAGATAAAATAAAATATTTAGCGTTAAAGAAGTGGAGGTATTTTAGTTCAGAAAAATTTATATGAAATTTTCTGTACTTAATTTAATAATTAATGAATCTCAATAACTATAATTTATATTTATAAAGCAAAAAATACTACAAACTTTTTATTATCATCATTCTCAGCTCCTTCTAATGCTTCCATTTCTTTTAGCATGGTGTTATATTCTTTTTGCAGCTGAAGAAATTAAATGACATGCGTCAATGATTAATGTTCCAAATTAACATTAAGAATATATAAAATGTACATGTACACAAAGATAGCTCATTTAAAAACATTTTCAAATTTAGTAAAATAAGTACAAACAATCATTTAGATACAGGTAGAACTACTTACGGTCTTCTGTCTATTTTGTGAATCTTGATAGGCACTTTTCAGTTGGGCATTTCGACTTTCTGCCTATTAAGAAAATAAACATAAAATATGCAGAAACTTATAATACACATTCTGTGAGAATGAGATAAATCTACTACCAAAAACTTTAAAATGAATATTACAAAAAATAAAATTTTTAAATTTAAAAAAAAAGATGGAAAAATAATTTTAAGATCATATTAACATAAAAATTAAGGAAGAGCTGGCAAATTACATTTTTAAGGTTACAATTTCAAAATAAATGGTTAATTTTAGATATGAAAGTTACATGGATTAAGATCTAGTGACCAAACATGTCATGAAATGGAAAATTTTTTTTTATTTTTCACCCGAATCACACGATCGAAATGTCTATGCCAGTTATAAGCATTCTTGTAGCCAAATAAAAATTAGCCTATAGTTTAAAAATGATCAGAAATAAAAGTCATAAAAAAAATGCATTGCAATTCAAAAGTTGTGAAAAAGGGAGCAGATTCTTTAAAAGGGAACAAAACACAACAGCATTAGTCATATCAAAAGAATGCAGATATTAGAAAAAAATTCCCTGAATTTTCCAGGTATATCAGGTAAATTTTAACGAAAATCAAGACCATGTACTTTTTCATCAGAAAACTTTCTGGTGAAAACTTTATTTTATTTGCAACACCAAAATTAGATTTTGTGACTAAAATTAGTCTTTAACCCAGTGTAATTTAATCCAGTGTTTAGTTCCCAAGCATGCTTGGTACTAATTTATGAACCCACTGAAGGGATGAAAGATCCTCGGGCGAGAAAGGCCCGAAATAGGACCTGCGTCACGGGAGCGCGAGGCGCTATCACTCAGCCACCGGGCATCATATACTATATCTAAATTTGTATAAATGTGAACGGCATAACAACGGTTCATATAAATTCTTATAAACATTAACAAAATACTGTAGATTTATATACGCAAAATTAAAATTAGTCCTATATAACAAAGCAATTTGAAGACATTATTTATCACTATGGAATAGTGATAAATGGCACTGAAAGATCTTCATATTAACACTTTCGCTGCTAATCCTGCTCCAGCACGAGACGAAATTCTTTTTAACAGTTTATGTTGATAAAACAGATCAAGCGCATATGATCATCCAACTATTTTTACAGAAAATATGAAGTTTTCTCCAGACAATAATACATTGTTTATTGAAATAAACTTATTGTGAATTTTAAAAACTAAAGCAGTTGCATAAATAAATCTAACTTTAACTATATTTTTATCAAATACCACATTTAATGATAGATACAGCATAACCACCTGTACTAGGCTAGCTGTGAATATGTTGATAAATACTAAACCCAATTCTATTTGAGATGGTTTCTAAAGTGTCACATCTAATATTTAGAACTATTTCTCTCACACTTAGCATAAACTCATAGATATATGAGCATAGAAGTATATAACGCAACATAGAAACTCTAGTAACAGAACTTCCAAACAAATTCATAAACCATATAATGATTAATTATAGCATAAATATGAAATTCTCTAAGAATCCTTAAAATGTTCATTTATACAGGGTATCTGCTACATTTTAGATTTTCAAATTCATGACTAATTCCAAGAACTTTTTATGACTTAACGAAGTTATTATTTTCTCTGACAAAAACGGAATGATAAATTCAAAAAGCATTATAATAACATTAATTAAAATGATAGGTATAACCAAAACTGTTATACTCTGCATCTTCATATTTATTGATTTTAAAAAACAGTAAAAAAAAAAAAGAGTTTAAGCAATAAAATAGCTGAGCAAATAATTTTTTCTTTTTTTCTGCAGTATTCTAAAGATACTTTTCCTGTTCATCAGAAAGGAAAGAAATACTCCTTATTTTTCTGTTCTCATCTCGGAATAAAAAAAAAATTCACCAATGATTGGCTTTCTTCAGCTAGAATTTTAAATTGATAAAATAAAATTTAAAAAAAATAATAATTCTGAAATCACAGAAGTTTAAAAGATACTTGGCTCTAGAAATGATGTTTTTTCCTTCATTTTTTGAAAAAACCATAATTTTTAAAGAACATGATAAAATCTTTTTATATTTTAATAAAATATTATTCAAATTCAGATATTCGGAGCACCAAGAAATTGGGGGAGTGGAATTCCATTTTATATAAAAAAAAATTGCCGACCTAAATCCATGACTTTCCATGATTTTTTTAAATAAGTTCTAGTTAAAATCATGACATTTCATGACAAATTTTGTTCAATACCGAAATTCATGACCTTCCATGATTTTTTATGACTTTCCAGATGCGCGGATACCTTGCTTATACATACCTCAGCTACTTTATCTCCTTTATCTTTGATTTGCTTTGTAAGTGATGCAGCCGTACGCTTATGATACTGTTTTCCACTCAAGCCTCTCTCTCCCAGCTCTTCATTAGCTAATTCTGCTTGCTGAAATGCATTGATATTTTATTATTTTTGCAAAAAGATATCTATGATTATCTTTCCTCAATAGCATTTAGAAATTGCAAACTTTACTTTTTCTGCAAATTCTGATGCAATTTGTTGAATTTCTCCAGACTGCAATCCCACGATTGAACCAACTTGGCTTGCAGTGAGTTTACCCTGAAATTTAAAATTTATTTTGGTTAAAAAAAACAAATACTTGAGTATAATATACAGTACTAGGAAGATGAAAGAGTATATTTTTGTCTTTTATAAAATAACACTTTCAAACTTTCCATCAAGAAGTCAATGATTAACTATCCTACTGTCCTGTAATTATTAGTCCCTACCTCATTATTATTTGAACTCATATGAGGAAGCGCATAATACCATTTATCATTTTCAGTAAGATAATAAAACTATTTTTCTTAATTTAATTTGCAAAGCAGGGAGGCCTAATTTTCAATGTAATTAATTGATAACCAATCTAACAATCACCTCAAGCAATTTAACTTGTTCTTCTTTCAAGACACAACAGACTATCGTATCAGATAGGGCAATTGGGAAATAAAATTAAAAAAACCATATTCTTTCACTAAGCTGCACATTAAGTACATTCAAAACAATTTACAACCTATTCAAAATAAAGGCCAGTTCTGTTCTAAAATAAATTAAAATTACACCCAACATTTTTTTATATTGGCTTTGCATGTTTCATTAATTTTCTTGCTTTTGTCAGTCTCGCTAAATTTTATTTTTAAAAGTCTTGACAGTATTATCTTCAAAATTTAAATATGATATACATATTTAAATTTTGAAAACACATAAAAACTTATCGTTTTTTGTCCCTGAATAAATTAACACTAAGTATCAATTTTTTTATTTCCTTTTTCCTTCTAAAAACACTAAAGTTAGTTTATTACTTACTTACCAGTCTGAGTTTTTTAAATCATATAACTGTATACAGAACAATAATATAAGGATTTAAAATTAATGACAACACTATACAACATGAAAATGTTCTTTAGATGAAAATATGTATTTTTTGTATATTTTTATCTGAAAATAAAGTATCTGTTACTATCTTTTGTAAACAATATGCCATTTTACCAAAAATTCATACTTAAGATTGTTGATATCACATATTTTAACAGCACGTCATATTTTACACGCAATGGTAAAATGTTCTCATTAATAGTGAAAGAGTCGCTAAATTGACGACCATTTTAGCAACAAAAGCTTTTTCTATCTTTCCAAAATGTTTCAGGCTCTAGATACATTAGAAAGCAAGATATTCAAAAACTCAGAAACGGAAACTTTTCTCCTACAAACAGTACATAATGGACCATTTTTGTTTTGATATGTATATGAAGCACCTTTTTTTTTTTTTTTACATAATTACAGTTTCATCTAAAGGACAATAACAAAATGTTCACATTTGTTGTACAAAGCTATCAATGAATACACTATGCAAATCAGATTTAATAAAATAATAGGTGTTTAATAGAGTTACATTTTAACAATACCAATTATACAAATGAATTATTTACCCAATAAACATAAAAAAACTATTGAAACAAAGTAAGCATTTCAAGAATTGCCCACAAAATAAATACACCAAGCTACTTTTTATCAAAAAATAAAAATTACAAAACCTATAACACTTTAGTTTATGCAGTTAATCTAAACTTTAAATTATTTGAAGTTTTATTTCATAAATTTATGTAGCATGGATTCTAAGGAATAACTACAATTCCTTAAATCTACAGGCCGACTACCTCTAAAAATTTATATTTTAATAACTTGCTCATCAAATTTATATTCAAATATAATCTTGTAATAAAATGTTTCGTAAATAAAAACACTTTGAAAATTATTTAAACTATGTAGAGTAACACATACATAGCTCAATAAATTAGGAAAAAAAATACTAACCTCATGCTCATGAGCAACAGACATGCTTTTCATCAAATTCTGAATCCGACTCTATTAGAATAGCATGCAAGTATAGCAGAAATTTAAAGAATTAGAAAATATATTTCAAAGTCACATAACTGATTAGTATAAATACAATCTTTATGCATAATAACAGTTAGAAAGGATAATGCAAGGCTAAAGCAAAAAAAAAAAGTAGGTATTTTTTAAAAAATTATTATTTACTAAGAAATTTAATAATTTTTATTTATGTAAAAATAATATAAATAAAAAAATAGTAATTTCTTGAAAAAAAAAAAACCTTTTGGACTGATTTAATATTTGGACATTTGCATCAAAGGTTATGCAGCAATTTTTGATTTAATTTTTCTCTTAAAGTTAAGAATAATTTCAGTCAAAACTAGAAATGAAAGCTCTATTATAATAACCAAATGAAAGATAGAAAATGATTATACACTGAAAGTGGCAGAATAATTTTAAAATATTGATTCAATTAAAAGCAGCGTATATTTAAAAAAAAACTCTTGATATAAAATTACAAAATTATAAAAATTGTATCAAAAAATAAATTAACTTAATAATTGCGTTAAGTGGTTAAGTATGAATACACATTTAAAGAATCTATTAACAAGAACAAAATAAGTTAGCGAACCAGTTTGTAACTTTACTAAGTTCGTTAAAATATTAAGGTGAAGTAATAAAACCTCAAGTATCTTTCAAAAAACTAAAATTGAAGGTTAAAGCAGTTATCTAAAAAGGTAGACAATATAAATAAAAAGGTAACAAAACTTAGTAAACCAGTTTGTAACTTTACTAAGTTCATTAAAATATTAAGGTGCAGTAATAAAACCTCAAGCATCTTTCAAAAAAAGGTAGGTAGACAATATAAGGTAAAAAGGTAGACAATATAAATAGAAAGGTAACAAAATGTGTTGATATTTATTCAATATGAATATTAAACTCGACTTAATTACTAAACTTATATTTATGATTATAAAAAAATGCTATAGAGCAATGTATGAACAATAAATGAGATTATGAATTAATACACTAAAAAAAGTTATAAAAAGAAACTTAAACTAAATGAATAAATAATGAACTTTAGCATATTCAAATATAGTGAATTTAAAAAAAGAGAGAAACAAAATCTATTTTATTCATCAATAAGTAACAGGTAAAAAAATATAATTTGTTTCAGATATGCTTAGTAAAAAAAAAATATATTAAAAACTACCAATTATTTCAATTACAACTATTTCATTACTGATTTAAGGCTAGTCAGACTTTACACAAAAATGTTTTTAAGTATTTAAAAAAGCACAATACAAAAGCAATTTATGTAAGAAAAGAGCGGTTGCAAATTTGAAAAAGAAAAAGGAATGCAATCAAGCAAGAAAGTTAAGTAATTGTTAAACCTCATCTTCTGCAGATGCTTGATTAGATTGCTCAGCTTCAGCAGACTGATCTTGCCCCTGAAAAACATATTGAGAAAGAGTCAGTTATGCCAAATGATTGCACAAAAAACACACATTTTCAAAATTAATTTTTGACAGAAATTTAAGAAAAGGTAAAATTTATTTCTGACAAAAATAAATAAGAAGAAACGATGTGAAAAAAACTATAAATTGTATTTATGTAATCTAAATTTTTTTTTTTTTTTTTTTTTGAAATTTTAAAAGGAAATAGAATGTTAAAAATAAATCAAATACAGACAAAAAGCATAAATCATATAATAAAATCAGAAACATACAATTATTTAAATATTAGAAAGAAATTTCAGTACCGCAGAACAAAATTCCTTCCCTTTTCGAAATTGTGGTAAAAAAAAAATTAATAAATAAAATAATGGTGATAAAGTTAAATTATGCATATTTTCATTACAAAGAAGGATGATTATTTATGACATCAAAACAACTATATGGTTATGGTCTTAAAATATTCGATTTGAACTTTATTTTGGCAATCCATTTTAATTTGATATAAAAATTAAACCCACAGAAAACTTTCATTTACACATGATATGTCAGAAATAAAAACTTACATGTTAAAAATAAATAAAACTCACAGCTGTATTTGCCAGATTTTAAAAAAAACTAAAATCTCAAAAAAGATTTTAAAAAAAAGTTTCAAACTTAAATAATAAAAAAATTCCATGCAGTTTTTCAAGCTAAAATTGAAAAAATTAGCATCTTAAGAAAAATTGATGCAATTTCTGAAGTGATAAATTTTTAATTTATTTCTCAATTTATTATGGAATTAAAGTTTTTCAAAGAATGAAACATGTCTAGACATTTATGAAGCACTGAGCTCCAAAACACTGTCAAATTACTACTATTATTAAACTATGTGATAGGTACCAAATACCTTTCATAGTTATCACAAAAGCTAGTTATCAAAAAAGACATTTTAAATAACTTTGATGTAAAAATATGTAAAATATATTTTTATAAATTTTAAAAACAGTAAGACACTGCAATACATACCATTATGCTATTTGTTTGAATAATTAAAACTATATAATTTTTATGCATAATAGATATTGGCAAAGTAGGAAAAGGAAATAACTTTTCCTTTTTTACTTATTTTTCTTTACTTATCTTTTTATCATTCAATTAAACAACCAACTAACAATTTTTTTCTAAATTGGAGTAACTCTAAAACATATTTTTTGATGTACCAAAAAAACTAATGCATAATAAATTTTATATTACCAAGAAATATAGACATTAATAAAGAAGTTATATTATATCAGTTATATTGCAAGTTATATTATTATATTAAGTTATATTATTATAAAAGTTTATTGATAAGTCTTACCTTACTTTCGGTAATTTTTGTACCACCAAGTTTCCTAAAAAAAGTAACAATCTGTATTATGTGAAAATCATTAAGTCTTTTAGAAATAAACGTTACTAAATAGCTTAAAAAATGTTTTTTAATGCAGAAAAAGTACATTATTTTCACTTTTCCTTAAAATAGCTATAACAATAAAAAAATTATTGTACAATTGATGAAAAGTATAGACTTTATGAACTGAACAAATGTGAATGTGGAGTTTAAATATTTTCAAATTGTGTTTTATTTGCAAATTTCTTTGAAATTGATACCAAAAAAAAAAAAAAATAAATAAAAAATAGCAAAATTTAAAAAAAAAATGCAATATATTTTTTTTTAAATTCTTTTTTCTTTTCCTGTAAAAAACAAGATTGATACACATGTTCAATACATAACATTTAAAAATTTCCTCCATTTTCTAAGACTTGAATTCTAAAATAAACTTAAGAAAACAAAATAATTATCTAAATAATTTTCTTTTTTTTTATTTCTTAAACTTCTGAAACATTTCTATGCTCTAACAAAATTGTATAAAACTCATTGCAGTGAAATGTAAGAGAAACCCTATTCAACATTTTATGAATATGATCTTGATAATCTAAAAACACAATAAAAATAGCTTAAAAAAAAAGCACTCACATGAATTTCAATCTGACACATTTTTATCCTAAACTTATATGTAACATATAATTATATTGAAATATGCATATTAAGAGAAATTAATGTTTCATTAAAGTTTGAAATAAACCTTCGAAGCGAAAACTGACGACTAAAGAAAAAATAATAATAATAATATTTAGAGAAGTTTTATACAAAAAAAAATTAATTCCTGTCACAAAGTTCTAAAATGAAAAAAATATCCAAAAATGTTAAAAAAAAAATTTCTTAAATAAAAAAAAAGCTCCAAAATCTCAAAAAAATACATTAAAAAAAGAAAAGTATTTTTAAAAAATTAAATGTCATCCGCATCATTAAGTAATTTCAGCAAAAAAAATAAAAAACACCATTTCTTAAAACTAAAAGCTTACTTTCCATATTCTAACAATGTAGTTTGTACTCGTTCTTCTTCTTCCCTCAACTTATGTGGAGCATGATAACGAAATAACCTTTGAGGACGATACACTTCCTATAAGATTCAATTCATTCAAAAATTAAAATGAACAGCCTATATTTCAATAAGATTAGTTACACAAGGCTTCACACAATTTACACAAGCAACTTCATAATAAATAAAACAATATGTAACATATAAAACCTTTTGTTTGCTTTAAAAAAAAAACTGAATATTTTACCCTGCTTAGTTATAGTTACATTTTTGTTTTATCTCTCATTGAAACCAAATTATAAAATAATTAGGAAAAAAAAGCATTTTTCTTAATTTAAATTATTGAAAAAAATATATGATGTATATATGTTATGCAAAATCTCATTCAGAAATAAAAAAATACTATCAACTGAAGAAAAACAAAAACTGAAAATATTTCGAGAAGACAACTTTAGTTTCAAACTGCTTACTAATTAACATTAAGTAATAAAGAAATATTTAGAGCTTCAGACAGAGTAAAACATTCATAAAACTTGTGGTCAAATTGAGAAAAAAAATGACATTGCATAAAATTTCATAGACTATTTCTAAAACTTAAGTTTTTAAAAACAAAATTTTAAGTTTTTCCTTGAATTTTAAAGAATAATTAGCGCTAAATCATTATTTTCATTACGCATAATCTTTTAATAGCTTATAGTAAAAATAAATTTATATTACATATCATTAACCTAAATCATATTATTATGTATGCTATTTTTAGTACAATTAAACCTCACTAACTCCAACTTTAGTCATGAAAAATAGGGTGATTACAAACACTAAGAAGAAAAAAAATTCCCTGATTTTTCGAGACTAATTTATCAAATTGTCCTGTGATGACATAAATGTTCTTATTAATTTCTAAATTATGTCTTATTTTTATGCATAATATTTATTATGAAACACTTAAACTTGCTGTTAAAATTGAAATACGTAATTTATTTATTTTTTCATAGTTAAGAGAACTGTTAGCTCAAAAAAAAAATATTGGACTTTTAGGAAGCTCAAATTAACTCCCTGACTATTTAGGTAATTTTCATTAAATTTCCTGGACTGTACTTTAAATTCCCTGAAAATTCTCTGATATTTCCAGATACATAAAATTCTCCAACTTTTCCGGATTGATAAAATTCCCTAACTCCTCTGTTTTTATGCCACTCTACAAATTTTTCAATTACTCCAATAAAAATTTTAAAAAATTTCTGAAATTCCTAAGCACTAAATGTTAAAGCAAGATTGTTTTGACAAAACTTCCTTTGGCTCTTACCAGGGTAACTTAAATTTTTTTTCTTCTACATATATAATACTTTGTGTGAAATTTGGAAGAAAAAAAAATCAGAGAAACAGAAATTTTAATAAAATCGAAAAGCTGTTTAGAAATATGTTAAGAAAAACCTGCAAAATTTTTAAAATGAGAAGATGCAATGCTTGCAAATAATATAATGAAACTTAACTTCGATTGACCCCCAAATTAGGAGTTCAAAGTCGTGTTTAATCTTTTTTTAGTCAGTTGTAATGTATATACTGTGATCAGCCATTCATTCTATCCTCTCCTTTTACTCCAGAATTCCAAAGGTGTGCCTTTTGAAAAAACAGCGAATAAGTAGGTGGCTTTGAATTGATTAATTGAATGATTGTTGATAGGGATTTATCCTTGATAGCTTTGAAGCAGTATGTAGAATCATCCAAACTATTGCAAAAAGAGTTTAGTCCTCAGTTCAAAATGATTAATAAACAAAAATTAAATAAGCTTAATACTGAAGAAGCAATCAAATCAATCTAGTTTAAAGCTACTTAGAAACTATGGTTGCCAAAATATGCATAGAAATATGTGGTTGAATAAATATTGTAATATATATCTCTTATCGAGAGCAAGGCTAATATATTTTATTTTATTAATGTTCATCTTAATAAAAAATGGATCGCTTATTACTTTTCTTGTAAAGAATTTTTTTCTTTATTCAACTGTTGATAACATGTTTTTTTTTAAAGTTTTTTTTCCTCTTTCCAATAAATGTTTAAGATAAGTTTGACTATAAAATTTATTGCACACTTAGAAACAGAAAAGACAACAAAAAAATGATTTATTTAAAAAACAATTATTATTTAATTATATCTCAATGAAAAGTCTTTAGTTTTGGCAATTAATTAAAACAAGTGTATGATTATGAAAAATTTTATGAGTTAAAGAAAGAAAATACTTATTTATCTTTTAACTAGCCTAATGAGTACTCATTAAAAATGCAAAACATTTCATAAAGATGAATATATCGTAAATATAACTATTAGTTAGCATACAAATGATGGAATTAGATTAAAAAAGACTAATAAAATGATCTAGAACCATTCTATATAATGAAATTATATTGTGCAACAATTCACAAAAAAATGGCAGATAACATAAAACAAGTAGATAATAAAACATTTACTTTAATATTCTTGTATGAAACAGCCATTTTCTCTTTTAATGTACTTGCAGCAGCATCCTAAAAATAAATACATATATAATACACAATTTTATCCGTTGAAATGTAATACAAATGTAAATGTTCACATAAGTATCATATTTCAATATATTCACACCTACATCCTAAATATAAATATATAACAGAAAATTTACACTGAATACAAAATTAAAATGTGATACAAATGTAAATGTACAAATATATATGTCTGCTTACATCCTAAAGCTAAATATACAATAGATAATCTTAATTAAATATATAATTGAAATATTATACAAATGTAGGTCAAAATTAAACTACATGATTATTTTAATGTTCTTGTTATCTTTTGTCATAGAATTATTAAAATTTATAAGACTTCCAGAAAGTTTTTATAATTATTCAAATAAATAACATTGCTAATATTATAAGTTTTAAGTTTATAGGAAAAGTATAAATAAGTGGATAAGTATTTTATACTTGGTATAAGTATTTAAAGTATAAGTATTTTATATTTTACTATTTAGTAATAGAAAAATCTTACTGATATAAAAAGTGTTAAGTGATAAAAAAAAATCATATAGATATAAGAAGTAAAATATTAATGATAAAAAAAAAAATATTTATGCATTATGCGCAAAAATATATAAACAGATTCAAACATTTTGAATACAGAAAAAGTATAGCAGAAGAAATTATTTATAAAAACAAAGAAAATAGTACAATAATTTATTTAAAATTTTTTTAGATAAATTATAATTATAAATAGTGATTATCACTATTTATAAATAATTAAAATAAAAAAGTTACAAAGGAACAAGAATTAGTATACCTCAGGCATTTCAAAATTTTTGTGAAATTGATAGACAGAGAATGCTCTGATATAGTCTCCAGTTTCTTCTCTGGTTTCAATTGCTCTTTTAACTAGCCACTTTAAAAAAAAAAAAAAAAAATTAACCACAAAAATGAATAACTGTTTCAAGTAAAAATAATAATAATAAAATCAGACTTCAGAAAATAAAAGAGAAAATTACATAAAACCCTCATACTTTACGATATCGCAGATGAACAAGACAACACAAATTTAAATTGTAAATTTATATACATATATCATTAAAATATTTTGAAATTCAAAGTGTAAAATTAATAACAAAATGAGGATGAAATAAACAATAAGTTTACTTGCAATAATGAAAGACAAATATTAAAATTCAATAAATTAAAAATATAATAAATTACATATATTTTGCAACAACAGTTATATGTGTTAAACTGAAGTCTCCAAAAAAAATCTACTTTCATATTTTCTATAGGAAAAAAAATATGTTAAGATTAGCATTTCAATTTGCCAACTATTTGCAATGAACAAACCCAAATTGCAATTAACAAACTATTCTTGTACAATAATTTATGTAACACAAAAATATCCTGATATACCAGATTTCATTAAAGAAAATATTTTCAATAAGGGGAAAAAAATTCTTTACGCAAATGATTCTTAAAAGCGAGCATTTTCAGAATAATTTATTTTTTAAACCTTTAGCACAAGCAAAATAAAATATATGACATCACAAATTATTTGTCATTAATGTCAAATTTGAAATATTATTCAACATAACAGTATATACTGTAATACATAACAAACAAGCGGCAGCAACTTTTAATAATTAATTAAATCTTAAATTAACAGACAATACTAAAAATCAAAATATACAAGGTAAAAGCTGTGCATTTACTAGTTATTAAGATATACAATAATTAAAAATGAACAATTTTAGAATAAGCAAAGTATAGTATAATATAATATAAATATATTGAATTAGTTATTACTTAGTTTTTTCACTTACTGTTCTTTTATTTTTTCTACAAAATTGTATTACTTTTTATTAAAAAAAAAATAAACTATCAAGAAAAAACTGTACTATATTTCATTAATAAAATTAAATAAAAATGATTAGACTTACTTGTATCACTGGGAAAATATGAATAAAATCCAATCCTTGAATTTGATGTGGTTCAATCCGATGTGGGCATTTCATTCTTGGTAAAACAGCCACAATTTTTTCAGTTAAAGCACTAAATATAAGTACAAAAGTTTTACAAAATAACCTAAAGAAATACTATGGAAAAGTACAAAATAATCAAAGTTCAAACATTATAAAAGCAAAGGAGAAATTCAGAGCATTTAATTTTTCATATTTAGTTCGGGTGAGAAATTTCAGAATAGGATTTTAAAAGTATTATTAGAATTTTACTTGTAAAACTTAACAATCATTTTTTATTTATTTTAAGTTTTACAGAAGTTACTTCATTTTAAAAAGATCTTTCCAAACAACACAAATAGATATTTTATTGTGTCACTTTTTTTTTCTAATAGAGTCTGCAAAATAAACAAATTTAAAAAAAAAAAAAAAANAAAAAAAACCAGAACACTTTGTATAATTTTTAGAGTTGCAGGTACTAAATTTTAATGGTTTGGTTAACCAGCACTGATTTTTAATGAATGCATTCTTAATGGTTGGTGGAATAGATGTTTAATGGATGCAATCTTAATGTTTAGTGAAATAGATGCTTAATGGATACAATCTTAATGGTTAGTGGAATAGATGTTTAATGGATGCAATCTTAATGTTTAATGAAATAGATGCTTAATGGATGCAATCTTAATGTTTAGTGAAATAGATATTTAATGGATACAGTCTTAATGGTTAGTGGAATAGATGTTTAATGAATGCAATCTTAATGGTTCGTGGAATAGATGTTTAATGGATACAATCTTAGTTAGTGGAATAGATGTTTAATTGATGCAATATTAATGGTTAGTGGAATAGATGTTAAATATATTAATTAATTAGTGCAAGTCAAAAATCAGAAAGAAACAATTTACTTTATATCTTTTTTCTTTTTGCAGTTTGGATTCATAAAAATATGGAAAAGAGACACAATCTGTAAAATATAATCCTGATAGTTTAGTCAGGATGGATGTTCAAAATTTGAGCTCATTTATGTTAACTTTATATGTTGCGCCATATTTCTAGAACCAACAAAGTGAATTAAAGAACATTTACACACAGTTATGTTGCGCCATATTTCAAGAACCAACAAAGTGAATTAAAGAACATTTACACACAGTTATGAAACTCATTTATAAATATAATGCAATTTTTTTAATAATTATATACTATTTAATTTAATAATGAATAAAGAGATTAAATTATTATGTTATACAAGTTTTTAAATTTTTTCACACTATGCATTTAAAAAAAAATGACTGTAGAATAATTAAAATAAATAGACATAAATTTTTCCAAAAATCATTTTCAAAATTTTCTGTTTAACTTAAGCCATTATGAAATATGTAATAAGTTGTATTCTTATTTTAGACTAGTAATAAAATGTCTTAATTCGTCAAAAAGAGGAAGAAAAAAATTAAGAAAACGTATACTTTCGTGTCTTATCTTTTAACCTAAAATTTTAAAAAATGAAAGTCTACATTGTTAGCAATAATTTGTAAAAATTAATATACAATTTAAAAGCTAAAGTAATGTAAGTGTTCTTTTGTGTGCACTATACTATTTTAAAGAAATAATGATATCTAGATCACATTTTCAAGAGCTTTCTTTCATATAAAAATAACAAATCATTTTTATGAGAAACAAACTGTTAAAAATAAATGTTATACAAAAACTGAGCTTTTAGAATAAAAAACATCTCAAAGTAGTGTTTTTTTTCTTATTATTATCTTTGCAATTACGAAATAAATGTAAAATTAATGAAAAATCTAGGTCAGTTCTATTGCCAATATTCTTATCTAAGAAAAAGCAAAAATTTGTAAATTTATGTTCATAGAATAAAAATCTATTAAAATTTATTAAATCTATTAAAATTTCCCCATAAAAATTTTGTCCAAAAATAATTTTCCAAATAATTCTTTGCCGAATATTTGGCCAAATATTCCTTACATCCCTAGTAATCACATCTTTTTAATCTATATTATATAAAACGCTAATACGTATGTATCAATAAAACCGATGATATTTTTTTTCTCGCGATGGCAACAGTTTTCATTTTTAATTGATAGGCTTCGGCGCGCAAGAACACGTAGCGAGCATCATATGGCTAATCTATATTATATAAAACGCTAATACATTTTAATTGATAGGCTTCGGCGTGCAAGAGCACGTAGTGAGCATCATATGTCTAATCGGGTGAATTCTCACCGAATTATCAAAAAAATTCTCACAAAATTATCTTCATCGAAGCCGATGCTTTACATCCGGCGTTCAGTACTATTTCATATTGTTTTACAACACATGGTTTTAGCCCTCTGGTGGGAAAGACTTTAAAACAAAACTTACAACAGTTACTTTTCTCAACAACTGAAATTTAGAATAGTGTGATTAAGAAAAATATGTGAACTGTTTGCAATTTCAAATTAATATTGAAATGCACAGGTTTATAATTATCTACAGTGAAAAGTTTTCGGAAATTCAGTGTTCAAAAAAGTATACAAAAGCTAGGCGTTAAGAACGTATCCAATGAGCGAGCATCGGATTGCGAAGCAATCCGAAATGAACTGCGAAAGCAGTTTATTGCTCATGTATTTTATTGCTCATGTCATGTATTTTATTGCTCATGCTCATGTAAATTTATTGCTCATGTTTTCACTAAGTAAAATGCTCAAAATGATTATATCCGTTTTTATGTTCTGATAAACAATTTTTCTTCAAAAAAAAAATGAAAAACTGTAACAGGAGAGAAATAAATGAGAAATGTAATTCTGTTTTTTTACGTAATTTTTGAAAAATTGCAATACATGTTATTGTGAAATGTCATTTATAGATTAAACTATCAAGATCTACTGTATTTTCTTTATAAGACTCTTACATTTTTTGACCAATTGTTAAATTTTCTTGAAAAAGAAGATCAATATCGATATCAACATTGCAAACTTCAATACACCACGTCATTCCACCAACAACCTATTAAAAGAAATTGTTTTTCTTTTAAATAATATTTATTCTATATTAATCTATTCAATAATACAAAACAAAGAAGGAATATTACAAGGAAATACTGTTAGTTTCATAAAACTTTATAGCCTCATGCATGTAAAATATGCAGTTAAAATTTTAATGTAGATATCCACTAAATATATTCAAGGTTCCCAGTCTTTTATCAAAGCAAAAATTAAGTGCTTTTAAGGACCTTTTTTGAAAAAATTAAGGATCTTAAAATAGTATATTAATTGTTAATCATCAAATATGCATCCACAGTAACATTGCCAATGATTTATCTTCTAAATAAAATTCTTTTCAATAAGCACGTGTGGTAGCAGTAAAATTAAACTTCTTGAACTCAGTTGATTTTGAAGGTAAATATGGGTATTCTACCTTAGAACTGTCAAAAAAAATAAAATATGCATGATTTTTTCCATGCAAAATATCCTGCTCCCTCTACCCTCACACTATATTTTTGCTTTTAGGATGCTCTACTCTCAACACAGGGTCTCATTCTAGGTGAAAGGAAGATTGTATAAACGAAAGAACTAATAAATTAATTATTATAACAATGAACGAAGGGCATGTTTTCTTCCTTTTGCCTATAGCCACTCTCATTCTTGTCTCTCAAAACGCTCTGACCTCAAAACTAGTCTCATTCTAAGCAAAAGAAAGACGAACTTTTAGTTTTAAATATTTTTGTAAAACAAAAAAAAATTTCTAATCAATTAGTGATACTGGAAACTCAATAAAGCTAAAAATAATTTTTGAATCGGATATACAACACTAACTGAGCTTCAACATAATACAGTAAAAACCATGCCATCTCAAAAAGGTATTGTGCAAGAACATTCTAACATAAAATAGGTCTAAATAAAACAAACTTGTCACTACATTGTTCTTCTATTTGTAAAAAAATTAAATTATGAATAAATTGACTTGCTTAGAGAAACCCTTTTTGGTGATGCCCCCCCCCCCAGTTTCTCACTTGCAGCTTCCCTGGCGGACACACTTCAATAACTCTTATGGGGGACTATATCTAATGGTCACATGGAAAAGCCATCCTAGTCTAGATCAATATTTAGTAATTGATAACAAGATGCAAAATGTATGTAAAAAAAAAATGATACAAGTGTTTTAGGCCCCATTTAAAGTTATAGACTTTAGTAAAGAATAACATGATTGACAAAGTGAGAGAAAAACTAAATTGTGGTCACTCACTTAGTCTGAAGTCTTTAACCGATTCTAAATTTAATTTAAAAGATCTGGATTAAGAATATGTTCTAAATAATTTTTGCAATTAGCAATGACAAAATGCAGAGTACTTCAAGAAAATAATTAATTACAAAATAAGCATACTTTATCGAAAGGGGACAATCCTTTGATCCTAGCTCTGAAATAACCAGCAGCAAGAAGCAACTCAATAATTTCTAGGAACTTTTTTTCTTGTTCTTCATCTTCTCGAACTTCTACCTTTCTCATAAAAATAAATTAAAGAACTATAAAATAATGGAATAAAGGAGTGTCATAAGCAATTGAAGAAAAAAAAGGTATTTTGAGTATAAGATTTAAATTAGAAAATTTAATTCAGAATATTCAAAGAAACCTAATTATTTCTAAATACAGTTATAATTCTTTCGCAGTAATGAAAAGAAATATTTATATAAAAATATACATAAAATGTCTTTCTAAATGCTTATTTCAGTTGTATGCTAAATTTTTGAAACATTTGATAAAAAAAGGTAAAGATCACTAACACGTTTAAAATCACAAGTTCATGCTATGGTGAATAAAGATGAGATAGACTCATTTATCATATTTATTCATAGGCTCATTTACTGAAGAAAGTTACAGAAAAATTTCTGCATTTAAAATCATTTTTAATCAGTTCTTTGTATTAATAAGTTACTACTTTAGTTCATTATTTCTTTAAGAACAAGATAGTTAAAATTTCATTTAGTTTAACATGATGGATTCAGTTTTTAATGTAAAATATAATTTCAAATGACTTCGGACACATGATGGTGACTGTTTGCGCCAACTATTATCGCTAAAGATTTTTCTAATAAAAGCTTTTGGTAAGAAAAAAAAAACTTATAAAGGTTTGCATAGTATAATTACAAGTTGATCCTGGGGTATTTCTGCATCATAAACTGTGGCACCAATTACAATCCTCAAGTTGCCAAATGAATTTTAAACTTGCAAATATTTTTAAAATAACATGTATAAAGGTTTTCCCTGGTGCGGCTACTAGTTATACCCTTTGAGTTGGTCGCCTATCGTTATGATTTTTTTCTTCTTTTTTTAGGTTTCTCGAAGGCCACTGCCAGGAAGTTGTCAAGAACCAAGATTTTCATTTACTCACAATCTATATCTTTTGCATCGCGGGATCTGGTTGGTGCAGATTAAAATTCGTCAGGCTCAGATCTCAAAATGCTTTAATTTCCGGAAAAACATATATTTATTAGTGAAAAGGGTTTAGAAATTTAAAGTAAAACAATAATATATTGCGATACATATATATATATATATATATACATACAAGGGATATTTCCGCATTGTGATCTGCCACACCAACTACAATCACCAAAGTGCTAAATTGTTTTTAAATGAGAAAAATTCGAAACAAAAACATGTAGAGGTTTGCCCAGGAGTGGCTACAAGTTTTACTCTTAAAGTTTGTCCCTTTCTGTTTAATTGCTCCAGGGCCACTGATCAGAAGTCGCCTAGACTTTAAAATTATTTTACCATGGATCAGAATATGGAAATCGTTCCTAGATATATATGGAATGGAAATTTTGTTAAATTGGTTTCTTACAATGGAAACAAAATTTATAAACAAAATTGATGAAAAAAAGAATGAAAAGTTTTTTAACATTTATTTTTCACCATGGAAAAAAAGGTTTAAATATGCCAAAATTTGGCTGTAAATACATGAATACTATAAGACAAACCTTTAATAATTCATACAATAATTGTTCACACCATTTCGGTTTTTAAATGCATTCTAAAAATTGGAAACGGAAATTGTGAAGAAGAAGAAAAGTACTTCTTTAACAGTTGATAGCCTATTAAACAGTATTATTTTTTGAATAAAATTTGGAAGTAACTTAACAGTTACTGGGGAGTTTTGACCAAAATCACCGAAAATGTAAAAGTATATTTTTACTTAGTAAACTTAATAATGAATGGATGATAAATAAATTGAATTTTTAAAATATGCTGAAATTTATTTTCAATTATTCACAAATTTCAACAAAATATATTTTTAAATAACCATTAGGATTTTTGAAAAATAGTAACTTTCAAAATCTCCCTTAGGATTAAAAAATTCAATTGTTCCTAATTTTTAATAATGTTTCGTAATCACCTTATTAGTTTTGTTTAAGTTTCCAAAATCTGGAACAGGTGGAGGCCTGCTTGCACGACGAACAACGCCTACAGCAGCCATGATTCTAATTCACAAATTAACACAGGACACACCGGATAATGTATTTCATTTGTTTATATTTTCATTTCGTTCCAATCATATGTCAATTACAAGTAATGTTGCCATTAATTTTTTAAGAATGTATTTACAAGTTAAAGTGGTAGTGCTTATTTGATAACATTGCTCATTTTTATTTTTACAGTTAAGTTTTCTATTTTTTAAAGAACCGCACGCTTGTGAAAATACTTTAACTTGTACTACAACTTGAAACTAAACTAAAAAGCGGTTATTTTGTTTATTCGTTTTCTGTCAAAACAATCCTTTTCGCAGATTAGTAGATTTCTTCACTCTTGTCTTAAAAAGGTGAAATCTTTTGTTCAAAAATTCGAATATTAATTATTATTCAAATAGATTTAGTCTTATTTTTATTATAATTTTTTGGATGGAACGTCATAATAAATCCACTTTTTAATTAAACTGATTTAACTAGGCTTGAAAGTCCGAAGTTATAAACTTACTTTATTTTTACTCTTTATTTTGTTTTAAATCTTAAGAATCTGTATATTTTACTTGTTCTTACTTCTATTATTATTGGTACAGCAAGTGAATATTGCAGGGTTGGGGTTTTGAACAGGACTGTCTTAAAGTGTCCAAAACCTTGAACTTTGGTAAAAGGTAAAAATTCTATAGGTGTAACCATTGTACGCATAATAATTACATGTATCAATAAATATTTGATATTTTTTATGCAATTTATTTTAACTTATTAGAGGAAAATAATGTAATGTAATAGAAAAGGTTTATAATTTTAAAAGCTCCACAATTCATTGAACAACAAAAGTGAATACCTAATCCTTTAAATATAAATATGCTTTTAATACTGATAAATAATGTTTTTGCATAAAGATAAATAATGCAATATTAAAAAATAATTTTTTTTTTTAAATACTAAATTTGTTTAAAAATTAACCTTTTATTTTTCACAATATTTTTGTAAAACAAAATGTTATAATTTCTGCTTTACAGGATGATAAAAAAGACATCTATTTTTAAAAAAATTGTTTTTAACTTAAATATATTTTAATATTACCTAACAGTTTTGAAGGGCATAACATCAGTTTCAGTTACTGACACTAGTGATGTATCACCACTATGCTAAAAGAATCGAACATTAATGAAATAAAAGTATTTTTGAATAGTACTGTAGATAAATAAACCTGTTTATGACTAACCAAGCACTTAGCCCCTAATAGCTTAACCTGTGTGGTTCAGTTATGTACTATTGAATGAGAGGACCAATTGAACTTGATTACTGATTTAAATTGAAGAGTCAAACAATATTAATAAAACATTATACTTTTAAAAACAGATATTCTCTAGTAGATTTAATTATCAATATGTTATTAGTTCTATGTTTATTTTACCTTTTAAATATTGTTCAGATAAAATTGTGACATAATTTGAGTAAAAGGGTTTTGGACAGAACGGTTCAAGTCTTGGATTAATCCATTCTGTCCTAAACCTTGCCTATAATGAAATATTGTAAAAGATTTTAGTGTTGCAAAGTCTAGAAAATCAAGTTACAAATATTGGAAAGATTTTCTTAGCTCTACCAACTTCCGATGGTCCTGCAAACCGCGTACTTAGACATGTTGACTGCAATTGTTGATAGTAATTGTTTAATAAACAACATTGTTCTAGGCACTAAATTACTTTTGTCAGTTAACTTTGTAATATGTTTGCATAAAATTAAATACTTTCAAATGTTTAAAAGTATTTAATTAGTAATTAAAAACTGCAAAACTGATTGCTTAGGGAAAAAACAGTCAGAAAACAGAATCAATTTATCAAAAAAATGTTTAGATAATTTGAAATAATTAAAAAATGTGGAAAAATTCATGTTTTTTTTATATCATATCACAAAAGTCCATTTTAATCAAAGTAAATTTTGACATTAAAATTTTTTTTATAGAATTAAATTTAAAAAATAAATATTTCAGTTTATTAAAATAAATGCAATTTAAATACTTTGATTTAAAGAAAGATTTTATAGGGTTAAAAATGATTAAAATTAAAACAAAACCCCTTCAGCATTTAGTAAGAAATATAATTTAACTTTAAACATTTATTTTAAATTAATGATAAGAGACAGGGACTGAGAGATGGAGGAAAAAGAAAGAAAACAATAATTTTGAAGGAGCTATTTTTCCTATAAATAAAAAAAACTGTTAAGATACTTGTTTACAATTCCTTATGACTTTTTTAACATGACACTTACTATTTACTATTATTATGCATATATGCCTAATGATTAATTAAAATTTACATTACTGTACAAAATTTATCTTGATTTCATATTTGCAATGTTAATTGTTAATATTTTAGATAATTTTGATTTATTAATTTTAATTTTATTGTCTTTAAACAGGCCTTCAAAATAAAATACAGTTACACCAAAAAATAAATATAAAGTGATTCAACATTTTAACTTTCTAGAACGTTAAATCAATGAGTCGCGACCGAGAGAGAAGACGAAGTTCTTCATTAGTTCCAATGTAAATTTCGCGATTTCGTGTTTTATTTATGATATTTACAGTTACAATGATTGATTTTTATTTTTATTAAAACTAATTGAAAGAGAATAGTTGCGGTGGTTTTCTTTTTTTTTTTTTTTTTTTTTTTTTTTTTTTTTTTTTTTTTTTTTNTTACTTTTTAAAGCATTAAAAAATTAATGTCACTACCTTCGGGAGCCCCTTTCTTTTAAATAAATAAAATTTTAATGAACTCAAATATTTTTAATTTGGCGTATAAACCTAGGAATTAAAATTCAGTTTCAATGAAATGTGTGGCCCGGTACCAATTGATCCACGGACCAGGGGATGGGGAACACTGCGTGCGATAATAGATAACAAATGTACGGACATATTACGAATTATGTAATTAAATCTGTTCATTTAAATGCGAAGTTTTTCTCTATTTAATATTGTTAAATTTATTTACAGCTATATGCTTGTATCTCAAAAATATTGAAAAATGAAATTTAATTTGAAGATGCAGCATCACACATTTGTTTCTTTTTTTTTAAATGATCACAATGTATCCTTAATTTAGCCGCACATTGTAAATAAAACAAAATTAATTTATAGATTAAGAAATGATTTTCTTTCTTTAATAGTAACTCGTTTTTGGAGCTATATTTTTCAAATGAGGTTTTTAATTCGACACTATCACAATTAACCACTCTGATCAATGGCTCTGTGTTGTACTTTCGATTTATTTATACATGAAACTTCTTTATTGTTACTTTCTAAGTGATTTTTTTTTGGGGTATTGTAAAAGTTTAGTCTTTATTTTGGCTCTTATCACAATTTTGGTCATAATCTTTTTCACATGCTGTGATGATTTGATAGCGCATTGTAATATTAGGTAGATTAATTTAAGTTCAAAAATTTTTTCATCTAATATTTTTCAGTCATGCATTTATTTATGAATTTATTTTTTATGTCAATGCTTTCTCTAATTTTACGTTTGTAAGATAGCACGTCATAAATATTATAAATTTGAATTTATTTTAATACAATAAGCAAATTTTTATTTCGGTTCTTCTTAAAACTTAAAATGTTCGTTTAAATACAATATTAAGTGCTGGGCTCACAAATAAATCTTTCCTATTAATTTTATTTATTTGCATTATAGTAATTTGTAATTACTTTTATCGTTTTATTTTATTTCTCTTACTGACAGGGTTCGTACGCGCCAGGAATTGTCGGGGTAACCAGATTTGAAAGAAAAAGGTATTAGAATTGTCTACTGAATCACTTTTAAGGGCATTTTTCAAAATTTAATTTTAACTTGTAACATACTTGTACGTTTTTGATAACTTAATTTGCAAGATTTCAATTTTCCGTTTTCAATACTGGAATTTTCACTTGCAAAATCGAAAATTAAAAAAAAAAATCAATTTTTTTCCCCTTCCAGATTGATTGTCATTAAGTGCATCTTCAAGATTCTTCTGTTATTCTTAAGCGCTTTTGGAGCGTAGTCAGTTGGCTTTCCGAGTTAAAAGAAAAAAAATTCTGCTCTGAGACTATTGACATGCGTTTTAAAATCTACTATTACTTCTCAATTTTTGCTATCCTTTGTTTATATGACATTATTTTTTCGTAATTTCGGATTATACATTAATTGTTACGAACAAAATATTTTTCATCGGCTATGTTTATTTGATATCAAAGAACTTTTTTTTAATTGAATAAATTCTGATTCCTCAGAGGTGCAGTATCATTAGCAAGTTTTGCATAATGTGGAAGCACGTCTACTTTTATAAAGAAATAAAGGAAGATTGTTTATTAATAAACGTAGACTATAATTTATTACTAAAAACAGACTATTATTTTAATAAGCAGAGTGCAGCTTTCTCTTTTTTTTTATAAATTTTTAATTCCTCTGCGTTTTATGTTTTATTCCGTTCAAAACTTTGTACTCATTAAGTTAGTTAAAATAGGATTTTAAGATAGATTTCAACTATAGTTTCCGTTTGGTAATTTTTTAAGTGCCTTTTTTAGAAGTTTTTCTTTTTTCATCTTTTTTAAACTTGTAATTATGTATGAAATATATTGTATTTTTTAATCATTAATTTTATTTTGTATTAGTTAATTTGATGATTTTTTATAGATTTTTAGTTTTAAAAATAGTTTTTTTTTTGTTGCTCTGTAAATTCCCTTAGTCTTATTTACCTTTTTATTGATTCATTGCAGTTATTGGATCTGATATACTGTATAAGTCAAAGCTGAATGTAAATTTTAGGTTTGATATTAATGCTGCTACTGAATTAATGTATAAAAATTCCAGTATGTTGTATTTAAATTAGAAGTATGAATTTTATCTTGCAACTTTCTTTTTTGTAAATATTTTTTTCCCAGTAGACACTTCAGAATTCCATTTTTCAACAGTTTAACCTAAAAGCACAGTATATTTTATCTGTTTATAAGGGATAGCGACAGATACCTACTTTATAGGTTTATTTTCAAAGTTAATATTTTTTTATTTTTAATTAGAATTTAAGGGGGTGGAGTCACAAAACAGGTTAGACTCCAAGTGTAAAAGTGGTATTCACATCTTGGTAAGTTGGGGCATAATTTTTTGATACTAAAATTTTATGATGGTCATTATTTTCTTGAAAGATATAAGCAATTTTTAAAATGAAGAGATACTGGATGAAATGATAACTGACAGTTTAATTCTAAAGAAATAAAATTAAATATTGAACAAGAAGAAAGATTCTGTATTCCCTGTTTAGTTTATTGAAATTGCTGATGTTTCTTTTATTTTTAGTTACTCTAATTTTGATTGAAGATATTTCCTTTAGTCGATAGCTTTTTTTTTTCTGACCAGGCGGTAATAAATTGCATAAAAATGACTTCACTTTCTTAAAACTTTCATCTAGTTTTCTACATTTTGATCCATATTATCGGACATTTTTTTTACCCTGATCAGAAATAGAGCTATATATAAGTTGACTGCATTTCTAAAATTATAAGATCAGCATATTCAATTTTGTAGATTACATCATGAATGAAAGTGCAAAATTAACTGAAGAAAAACTCTTTGAATGCTTCAAAAGTCTCAATGTTCCTGTACATCCAAGTGAATTGAAGACTCCAACAGTATGTATCATATTGATAACTAATTTACTTGCATGTATAGTTTAAGTAATGTTTTTATTTATTTCAACAAATGCTATAATAAGTTCTTTAAAACATTAAAATTGAAAGATAACTGTTGTAACAGTCAAGCAGAAATTACTTTGTTTTCTTAAATACCTTTAAAATAATCCATATATTTAACTGTAAAATATTGTATTCAATTTAACAAAAATTTAAAAAAAAAAATCAGAAAATTTAAATATTTTTCACAGTTGAAATAAGTGACAAATTAACATGAAATACATGAAGGTGATGACTTCAACTGTCTTGTTGGAGTCTTTAATAAAATTAATTATATTGGTTTTAAATTATACATATATACTGTTATACCATATTTTTTTGTTAATATTACCCATAGGCCGTTTTTTAAACTGTCAGATTCCCGTTTTTGTCCTTCAGATATTCTTCTGACATTTGGAAAAGAAATTGAAGTTAATTTGTTTAAAGAAGAAAAACAGTAACACCTGAGGCTAATGCAGAAAATGTGGATTTGTTACAATTCAGGTAAAATGTCTCAAACAATAGGTGTTTACGCACCATTTGCAAAAAAATTTGAAACTTGAGGTGCTATCGGTTAAAGAAATGGTTGCAGAAGCTGAAGAAGTGCAGAGTGATTCCAATGAAATCTGAACTTAGCGCAACTAATTAAAGAAAACATTTGCAGAAGGCCTCAAAGCCTTTAAAACAATGAGGAACTTTTATTGCTTTCAGGAAATGAACAGCAATCTATAGCAAAAGTCTAGAAAAATTTTGCATTGAGAAGTAAAAAAAACTATAACTTTCAAATATTTATTTATCCTTTTTTTTTGTATTGTAAATATTCTTTTAGAAATTACTTAATTTTTTTAGCTGAAATTTTTATAGCATTAATTTATTAATTTTCATATATTTTTTAGTTATTATATGATGTTTTAGACCTACATTCCTCCTTACCCTCCCCTCTATTGTTTGTAATGAATGCACTTGAGAAACAAGTGGAATTTTCATGTGGAAATCTGATGATCGAGCATTCAATAGTTTTATAAAGATTGAAATGGCAACGTTGGCTTTGAATAGTCTTCATATACATCTTGTGCCCACTCCAGTTTGAAATAAATTCGTGATATGATTATTGTTAAGATCTATTTAAAATGTTTAGAAGATAGCTAAAAGTGTGTTGAATATTTTCTAGTTAAATTGACAGGTGTAACTTCTGTGGATAATTGTTTATAATTTATTTAATTATGATAATTATTCTGGTTGCGTAGCATTTTTAAAAAGCACTTTAATGTGCTTATTTTTGTTTTTTTAAAGCCCAAGTCCTTAATGTTCTCTTTTTCAAAGTAAGTTAATTATTTTTATCAGGTTGGTTTTTGTCACGAATTATGCCAAAAGTGTTGTGTTTTCACATTATTCTATTCAATGTTTTCTCAATTCATATAACCACATCAATAATATTAGAATATGCGCTCTAATGAAAAATATTTCTTTCTATTATTGCAAGTTAGTATGTATGTGTAAATACATGTATGTATATACACATAAATAAAAACTTTCAGTAATAGGAAGGAAAATATTTCTTACTGCGAATATCCTACTTATATTTGGGGGGATTTTCATATCGCAATCTGTAGCAGAATAATCGCCAAGTCTTTTCAACTTCAGAGCTGCGCCCCGTGAGAAACTGAAGAAAAAAAAATAAACTGAAAGAAAGGGACTAACTCTAAATTGTATTCACCCCGGGGCAAACGTCTCCATATTTTTATTTTTACTCCTTGGCTATTGTAGTTGGCGTGACAAATCATGATACAGAGACATCCCCTTACATATATATATTTTTAATAAAGAGTTTTAAAAAAAATTTTTTTTTTTTTGTTGAGTGTTTGAAAAGTTCTTAATATGTACTTATTTTTTGTTCAAAAATTTGGCTACGCACCCTGTTATTGTTTTCATTGCGTAAAAAATTCATTTTGATTTTTTATCTTGTGTAAAATCATTTTAAATTTATTCCAGAAAGATTTTGTGTTACGAGTTTTTGATACATTTCTGAGCGATCTTCACATCGATCTTTCCAGTAATTCAGCTGTAAGTTCTTCTTTAGAGTTACACAATTATATGATTTTGCAAATTATTGATTTGTTTTCTTTTTAAATGTGTATTGTGGAATCAGAATTTAGAGTTAGGAATAATCTAAATTAAATTTAAAACAAATGAGCCATGGCAGCACTGTGAACACTCATCACGGCACTGACACGCCAGCACTAAAATTGAGTTACCCCCATAGCATTAAAATTAAAACAAAATGCAAATTCATTTGAAATTTGTTTATTTTATTTAAAAATAAATTGCAATCAATAATAATATTCAGTATAATGATTTATTTGTGTTTACAGGCATAAAAATAATGATAAAATTAAAGTAATAAAAGCAAACTTCAATCAGGGTTGCAAAAAACCCACCTGCCCAATAAAACCCGCCCGAGTTTTACTGGGTTTTTCTAAGATTTATGTCTTTTTTTATGCTCTGTTATATTAAAGAGCTATTCTATTGAAATATATATGTAGTCTAGCCTAAAAAAAATTAACCTATAGTGAAGAAACTAATTATGTTGGAGACTGGAGAGTCATCTTGCTGGCTAGATTTGACTGTATGGCCATTGATTATTCAGTGCCTTTGATTCGCAAGTTAAAAATTTTCCTAAAATATTTTTTAAGAATAAAATATATATAAAAAGTAATCCTGTGTTAAAATAAGTTTCAAATGTGTGATGTATGTGTGTACATATAACATTTTGTATCGTGATGTCAGAAGAAACTTTTTTCAGACTTTCACATCAATTTATTTGTATTAATTATCTATATGAAGTCAATTTATAAAATTAAACTTAATTATTATATTGAAATAAGCTTTTTTTTAAAAAAGGTACCTATCCCTGCCTTCTCTTTTGAAAACCCACCATAAAAACATGAAAAATCCCGAAGGACCCAATAGAACCCAGAAAAACCCACCCGGGTTAGGTTTTTTTACAAAAACCTGCGTTTTTTGCAATACTGACTTCAATGCTTCAAAAACTTCACAAAGATTGAAAAAATTGTGCTGGTGGCGCCAAAATTTTGTTTTTGACATGATTCATAAAAACTTATTGCAAAGTGTTAGAAGCTGTCATAATGTCAAATGCAACCCGGGCAAGTTTTTTTTCTATCTTTAAGAACATTTTATTGGTGGTTAAGCAGCAAAACTGTTTAAATCAGTTGCAATGCTTACACGATAATTACTACAATAATTATGATTCTTATTATACCTTATGGCATGTATAAAAAAATATCGCTAATATTATAATGAATTATTATCTACTTTTTCAAAATATATGGTAATATTTATACTTAAGTACATTATTGTTTAATACAAAATAACAATTACTAATTTAAACATTGATATTACTTCTTTCATGCCACAATTGTTTAGCTTATTTAAAAAACTGAAGTGGTTTCTTATAATTGTTTGTCTCATCTTGTGAAATTTTTTCTGACTAAATATTTGTTGTAAATGCTTAAATTTACTGTGAAAAAGAAAAAAACAAAACATGAATAACGATTTGATCCACTGATTAGATTTCCACTTACTAAGGACTTAATCTGAATGGTTTAAGCCTTACCTTAAATATGTTAATTAGAGCAGATAATCTTTTAAGTAACAAAATCAGACACAGAAACTTACCTTTTCTGAATAAGCATGCTTGCTTTTAAACAGATTCGGATTTGTAACTTTCAAAATATAGGGGGTAGCCGCAATCTGAGAAATATGGTAACTATAGTTTGGTCAGGAGAGCGATCCAAAGTTTGAACCCCTTAATGTCAATTTTACTTGCTGCACATCTCTAACTTTTTCAAGTGAATCAAAACATTTTTAGTAATTAGGGTCCTCGTTTCCCTGCTTGTTAGCTAAAATGATTGGTCCAGCTTCTATTACTATGTTTTTAAATATTATTGTATACTTTTAAATATTTATGTTTTTAAATATTATTGTAAGTTTTTAAATATTTATGTTTTTCAAATTTTACTATTTACTTTCTGTAATTCTCATTTCATGCACTTTAAAAAGTACTAGTAAAAGCGTTATGAATAAACTAGTAAAATTCCTTGCTTTTCATACATTGATAAATATTTTTTTTAATTTTTTTTAGTTTACTTTTTTCTCAATAAGTTATATTCTTTATTTGCTATTTCTAGCTACCATTTGAATGCATGAAAAATATTGAAAATCCTGAGTTATATGAAGGAGCTCCACGCTATAGCATACTTCTTCCCACAATGTAAATAAGTATTTTGTATGATTTTTTTCATTTTGAATTCTTTATTTCTATGGCAATAATTATCTAATTTAGGAATTGTCCATTTTAAAACTTTTTCAACCCGATTTGATTTTAAAACACTAGTGTAAATAATGGACAATGTTTCTTTACAATTTTATTTATAAACGATTGATATTAAGAATTCAATGATCACAAATGTATCAAAATGATAAATTGAGAAAAAGGGCCATATTCTTGTTAGCAAAAATGTTTAGCTGCTCAAAAGTTGTGTTTTTTTCCACAAAATTGTTTTTAAAAAAAATTTTTTTTTTTTAGATATTTCATAAAGATATATTGATCTCAATTACTATTTTTTAATTAGATATTAAATTTTTAAATTGGTGGGATATTTTTCAATCCAAGTTTTTTTTTTTTTATCTACATAATATATTTTCCAGCTTTGTAATTCTTACATTATATTATAATAGTATTAAATTGATACAATAATAAAGGAAAATTTAACTGGGACCATTCATTAATTTACATATGTTATGTAATAGGATTTTTTGTATGTTTCCTTTTTGCTTTATTCACAAAACTTCATAGAATAAGTGTTGTATAAAACAGAGATTTTTGGCCAAGTTAAGAATTAAAAATAATTTCTTTTTAAAGCATAAACAAATTTTCTTAATTAATTTTTGCATTACATTTACAATGATTATTTTATTTATCAAAAAATAAGATTATTGAAATCACTGGTATTGATCTTTCAGTTTAAATCTTGACATTGACATGTTGAATATATTTTCCATTTTGATATTTAAAAAAGACTCCCGATGGCTGAGTGGTAGCGCTTGGTGCTCCCTGGCCACAGGTTTTGGGTTTGATCCTCGGGCCGGGCAAGGTTGACTCAGCCTTTCGTCCCTTCAGTGGGTCGATAAGTGAGTACCAAGTATGCTTGGGAACTAGACACTGGGGGTTTCGCATTCAGCTGACCACCTAACCAAAACATCTACTCCTACACCCCAAAGCCCAAGGTCAAGAAACCTGAGATGGGCATAGTAGGCCTTGGCCCTGTATGGGCTGTCAAGCCACTGAGTTTAGTTTTTTTTTAGTTATTTAAAAAAAAATTCTATAATCTTTAAAAGAAATGCAATTTACATAGTGTTATGGTTATGTTCATTTATTAGTTTTTGTGTTAAATATAATCCATTCTTATTAAATATAGATTTAGTTTTTGTGAACAAAATTTTATTTTTAACTACTTGAAATGTTATTGATCATTCTATTTCATTTTTTAGTTTTTTATTACTATTTAACATTAAATATGTGTATTTGCTTATAAATTACAAGATATAGAGGACAAGCTTGTTTTAATGGCAATTTCATCTGCTACTACAAATTAACTAACTGTTACAGTATATTTTTAAATACTAATTATTAACAAAAAGATTTTGGTAAAGTTTCAGACAAAAAAAAATCTTATATAGTAAGAAGCAGTATTTTTTGTTAAAAATTCATGTGGTTTTTATTCTTTCTTTACTCACAAAATATATTTGACATGAATATTTAGGTTTATTTGTAATACAATTTAAATTTTTATTTCAGGAATAACATTTTGAAAAATTTTTGTCATTGCCCTGTGCCAATTACGCTAAATGATGTAGTTGCACCTAGTAAGAATTTTATTTTAATTTATTAAACATCCTATACTGTATAGTTTATTATATAGTAAGTTAAGACTTAACTAGCTAGAATTTTTTTAAAAACATTGATTTACTACAACAGTTGTTTCTTTCCAAGAAGAAAGTTTTATGTATGTTATGGGTAAATGACCATAATGTTGCTAACTTTAATAAATTATTTAACTATACAGCTAGTTAAAAATTCTCGTATAAAATTTAATTTTTGCAGTGAAACACCAGTCCAAAATCAAACCAAGTTCGTTCCTGTTAATTGTTTAATGATTAAAACCATGAATATATTTTGTCAATGTTTAGTTTTTTTTTAACAATAAACCTGTTAGTTCCCGGAATTTTCTGTTATAAACCAAAAAAAAAGTACACAATTAATAAATTTTATTATTTTTTTAAAGGAATCTGTTTTATTTGTATAATTTTATTGGCGTAATCAAGTATCTATACAGTATAAATATTAATACTTATGCATTTATTTACAGGTATGAATGTTCTTAAATTAACTAGCAATCTATTGAAAGTAAATTTTCAATTTGGGAAGAATTCATTTATCCTAAATCTTATATGCTTTTATTATAAATTTTATTGGCCTAATCGAATATAAATACAATAGAAATATTCATACTTATATATTTATTTATAGGTATGAATATTCTTAAATTAACAAGCAATCTGTTGAAAGTAAATTTTCAATTAGGGAAGAATTCATATATCTTATATTGTATATGCTTATATTAAAGATGTTTGAAAGCTTTATTTTATTAGTCTTCATTTTCTACCCCAGAACCTAAGAAAACAAAGAAGATACTGAATTATCTTGTAGTTTTTTGGAACTATGTCTTACGGAAGCAAGAATTATTTTCATATGTCCGAAACACTCTTGTATGTATTTTATTCAATAAACTTTTATGGTAATATTAATGCATATTTTATTTTTCTTAATGCTGTTTAATGTTTCAAGAATAGTAATAATGCTTTGCAAATATTATCTATTGACTCTTTTATAAATATTCAGAATCCTATTTTAATGCTATTTTCGACAATAATTACCTGAAATTAACATAAAGTAAGGATATTTTATGTAAATTGAAGTACTGTTTCAAAGGAACACGAACCAGAATGTTCACAATAGGAGCATCCTTAGTGGAGTATTTCATAATTCAATTCTCTAGCCTTTCCTTAAAGTTTGTACCAATATTTATTAGACGTCTTGTATTTATATGTAAATGAAGAAATAAAGCTAGCTATTTATTATAATCAGTTATAATTAATAGTAATAACCAAAAATTATTAATATAACAGATTAATTACATTGGGTGTAATATTATATGCCTATGCAGGCGTCTGTCCAGGGTAAATTTACTACCATGTAGCAGTACCTTCACAAGTTCAACTTAAGGGAAAACGGCAGTTTCACAAATAAAAAAGCAAATTCTCATGCAAATGCTGTTCTCATTGCAGTCTATGGAAAAGAGGAGTTTTTCTGCCAGCTGTGTTTTGAGAAAAGGTAGCACACGTTCAGTCAGATAGTGGATATGGTAAGCTTAACCGGTCGCTTATGCCATATCAAAGTGAGCTCTTTTTTTTGCTGAGTTTTTTTAAAACAAAACCGTGAGGCTATTCCTCTGTAAACTTCACAGGGAGTCAAAATTCTAACATTATCTTAAGCACTATTGTAAATTTATTCTAACTAACCTTTATTTTTTATGAACCATTTTTTTCTCTGTCAAGCTTTTTTCTGTATCACCCAGTTGAAAATGTACTAACTTTTAGTACTAGTACTGCTAAATGCATGTTTTTATTAAATTGGAATTTAACTATGAATAATCATTTTTATGGATTTTGTAATTTAGATAAAATTTTTATCCCAAAATTTACAATAGCGAAATTTTTGAAAATAGTTTCTTACTTTACCATATTTTTGTGTTGATTTTTTATTATTATTTTTAATTTTCACAAATTAGGTCTAAAATTTAACAAAATAGGTACCTCTTAAAAAAAAGAATGACATGGACCCCTACTAGGTTTTTTGTTGGGCAGCAAATGAAAGAAACAATTACCCACGCAAATACCCTATAATTGATAACTAGCTTTATTTTTGGATTAAAAAGTAAATACCACCTTCATTTTTTATGCTTTTAGTACTATTTTATTTTTTTCATAAACTTTTTTTAAATTTTTTTTTTTTTTTTTAAGTTAACCACATTTTAATAACTTAGTAATAAAATGTGTATTTCTAGCAACCTGAGATACAAAAATGTGAGGATACCAAAAGGGAAATTGAAAAATTGGATGAACAGTATCAAGAATGCCTTGAAAAACTTAACAATATTAAGATACCCAAAGAAGAGGTTTGTTAATATTTTGTTTATATAAACATGAGAATTTATGTAACATATTTATACTTTTCTTTGTTTGGAATGATTTGTTGTTAACCCAATTTTTTATATATCAATAATCGTTGCTTGATATAGCATCCACTTCCTTCAAACAATTGACGTTATAATGTCTGGTTGTAATATTGAGAGTGCTCAAAAAGACCATAAATATTTGCTCCTAATTAAAAATTGCTTCATTAACTTTGACTAAATGTGGTATACATTAGGAATGTAGGAAAGGTAACAGAAATATCAATGTTGCAACTTGTTTTTGTTGTTTTTTTCTTCTGTGAATAGTATATACATTGAAATGTCCTTTAAAAATGCATTATGGATGAAAAGAGTTGCCTTTAAACAGAAATTTATGAAGAATGAGGATGCATCTTTTTTTACCTAAAGAATGCAGACAGGATTTCATTATACAGCGCTGATTTCCACAATGATGTAATAATTAACTCTAAATATTAATTTCTAGTTATTAATAAAAATATCTTTTTTACATAGGGAATTTCTCAGTAATGGTAAGTGTTACCACAGACTCTTAAAATATGAAGTAAAGATACTGATCGCAAACAAAAATATGGTTCAAAATTTTCTTGTTTTATATTACTATGTATTTAAGTTATCTATGTATGCTACTAAGTATTTAGTTCTGCGAGTATCACAGAATTATATTTTATCATGTTTTATAAATGTTGTAATTTTCTTTTAAAATATTTTAATTTTTGAGCCTTGAAGTTATGTTTTGAATATATAGAACGAAGTCCTATTATAAATTAGGGAATAAATTTTTTTTTTGGAGAAAAAAAATTAAATAGATTCAATATTTTTTAAATAAATGACTATTTTATCTTTTTTTGTTAGTTTTAAACAACATTTAAAATTTTTTTTAGAAATTTGTTTAAATTAAGTTTAATATTTTACGTTACTTGTAAACTATTACTGAAATAATTGCTCAAAAGGTGTCTATTACTTTTTTTTTCAACAAATGTTTGAAATTAACATTGGTTTTATTTGTGTATTATACTTTTAATTTAAATAAATTCATTATTTAAAAAAATGAAAAACTTTTTTAAGGTATTTTAAGTTTAACTTACAAAAAAAAAATAGAAAATTGAAGATAGTAGTTTTTATAGGTTTTACAAGCTGTGAAGAGAAATTTTATTGTTTTATGATTCAGTAATTATTGTGAAGGAATTTGTGAAAACTTTGAACAATGTGGTTGAATCTTGATGCTGTTTCTATTACACACTGTTGAACAATTCCTTATTGCAGGATTGAAATGGTTATTGCTTAGTATTTCGATCCCATGTGCCAAAACATTTTGTTATATGACTCTTTCATTTTTTTATGTCAATTATTATATGTCAAAATGACTGTCCCAATTTCATAGGTGTACTACGCAACATGTATTAAATGTAAATACATGCTAGAGTAATGCAACAAAAACTTAAAAAGTCGGCAATAAATGCTGCTGGCAGTCCAGTGCTCATCAAAATTTCTCCGAAAACAAGATAAGCAGGGGGAAATTATTTTAATAATAACACGTTTCCACAATGTTGGCTTGGTGGGGGCTCATAAAAAATTTGGTGTTTATTCCTCGAAATCCAACTACTATGACTGATCTGAAAGCAATCGCCAACATTGATACAGACATCCTGCACAAAGTTTGGCAAAAGTTACTGTTCAGACTTGAGGTATGCCATGTAACAAAAGAAGCTAATTTTAAATGAGGGCATTCAAAACTTGTTTATATTACCTCTACAATAGGGGTGCACAACCTATGGTCTGCGGGTCGCTACTCTACAAGTACATTTTTAATGAATACATTTTCTGCATTTTGCACAGTGCACTGATGAAGGCAGGTCATTCATTTTGACTTCATTGAGCTTTGATCAATTTAATGACTTTAATTAAATAGCTGATTTTTTTTTAGCTATAATGATTAGTCAAGAAACTAAAAATTTGTTTTGATTATAAAAATAGTTTTTGAATACTTATATGAGTGTTTATTTGTTTTTAAGCTCCTTAAAGTAGCTGCTGCAAAGGATGAAATAATCAAAAAATATGAGGGAACTCAAGTGAGTAAAGCTCTTTTTTTCTTTCTTTAAAATAAATGCATACCTACATGTTTTAAACACAAAGATTTAAGTCATTGGTTAATATATTTATAGATACATTAACCATTTACTGAGATTGGCAGCTTTTATCACAAACTTCAACAATTTGCTTTTAAAGAGATTCTGGGTACTGCTTAAAAATACTGACCAATTTACATTTAAAAGTATAAAGCACATAACTTGGGAGCCAAAACCATACAGCTCAGTAATTGATCTGCTGGATGCTGCAAGTTATTTATCATCTCATTAATTAAAAAAGAAGCTCAAGATAGGAGAAACAGAAAAATCGTATCTCTATTATATTTGTTTGCAGATATGTAGGCTAAAAATTATAATGTTTCAAAATTTCCAAATTATTTTGTGGAGCTTTATGAAATAAAGAAAATTTAAACAAGAAAATTTTTTTAAGAAAATATATATATATTTTTGACAATTTGGTTTTTGTGTAAAGCTTTATCTGCTTTATGTACATGCAAATTTTGCAGAATATGCATGTTAGATTAGGAAAAAAATAGTTCCTGTCTGCCCGTGTTATGGTCATTAAAAGATCTGAATTTGTGAAATTGTGCTACTGGATGCGCTCTGTAAATTCCACTACCAGAGTAAAAACTTTGAACACCTTTATAACTTTTGATCTAACGACTAAAATTTTACGTACTAACATGCAATTTTAATGGTTTGAGGCTTTAATCTTGAATTTACTATGAGCAGGCTATATTTTAATTCATATTTTTTCGACTAGTATTAAGTTCTTTTGTATAGATGGGGCTCTAGAATAAATAAGTTTTATAATTGTGTTAAAAAAAAAAATTTGGCATAATTAATTAAAAGATATCTCGAAATATGTTAAAAGTATACAGGGGTCTGTTTAGAAGAAGTTTGGGTCTTTCACAAAATAACTTTTCATAAAAACGGACCCTTCACAAAATATCTTTTCATAAAAACAGACCCTTCACAAAATTCTTTTTCTTTTAATCGGACTCTTCACAAATTTGTTTATCTTCATAATAGTTTTGTTAATTGAATAAACCCAGGGCAGAAAACAAGAAATATGGATGTAAACAAATTAAGTTATGTCTTCGGCAGATGCTTTTCCTCCTTTATTCGTCCGAAATGAATATTCTATGTTCAGCAGTATAGGCTAAATACCAAATATTTGTGTGTTGCATCCGTAATTTAGTAGCTGCAATTGCTGTTTATTTTTTAAAATTTAATTTTATTAATAATAATTTTACAGTGTTGAGCATAATCTTGTATGTCTTTACAATTTAAAAACTCCTTGAAAATGTTTTTTTTTTTGCAATAACGGACCCTATTTGCACAAATTCACAAAAGCGGACCTTGGTTGAAAGAATGTGACGTAACGTTTATTTTATATTCACAAATTACAAGAAATTTTTTCACAATTTTGCAAAAACGGTCCTTTCACAAAATTTCTGGACAGACCCCTGGTACACTTAGACTTCTCACATTGATATAAAATTTTTCCAATTATAACTTCCCCCTTTTATTTTGAGGATCACAGAATCTAAAATTGTTGATAGGGATTCATTAAAAATATGTTCTTATGTTTATTTTTTGGAATCTGGACAAATAAATTAGTTAGATTACTTTTACCTTAGTTACCATTAAGATTGCATCTTTCTATGTTAAAATTTGATAACTAAATCAAAATATCAAACATTGTCTCCTTAATGTAAGGTGTCTGCCCTTCAGAAATGTCTGTAAGGCGAAGTTTCACTATAATAAGTTTGAGTAGTCTATCATTAAACTGTTCTTCAAAGATGTGTTTATTTCAGAGCACAAAATAGCAACAAGAAAAGTCTAAGCAATTAAATGTAGCTCTCTTAGCTGATGTTGTAAGATACCAACCATACTTTTAAGGAATGAAACTTTTAAATTATTTATTTAGACTTTGATTTATACATTTTTATATGCAAAATGTTTATAATTTGAGTTACCCTGTTTAAGGTAATATAGTATCGATTAAGCTTTATGGTTGTCAATAAAATTTAGTATGTACGTTATATGATAAATTGAGAGAAAAACTAGTTGAAATTTTTACTACCAGGTGAGAAAAAGGAGTGTATAACGTACAAAAACAGAAATTTGAGACACAAAACTATATTTAATAATGGCATACGTTCCATTTACATCTGATTATCAAAATTATATTTAAAAATAGCACACGTCCAATATGCATCTATTCTGTGGCTTATTGTATAGAGTGTTTTTCTTTTAATGAGGGGACTCTGGTTCGAATCCCAGCAATGGCTGGATGATACGAGTTCTGCTCTTGGCTTGCACGGGATTGCAAAAAAAATTTATTCATATTTCAGTGTTCATAATAGATTAAAATTTATTAGTAATTATAAATAATAAGTTTAATGATATGTGTTTTTTTGCTATTCAGTTATTCTATCATAAAATTGAAAACACAGTAAGAAAAATAAATTAATTGCAATTTTGCGAGCACTGCTAAAAAAAAATTCTTTTCAATTGATTTGAAAAATTATTTTTAGGTAGTTTAATATCTCATAACTGAGAAATTCCCCTGCTTTTACAAAAGTTTAATCAATTGTATGTTGCTTTTTTTTTCCTTCAGAGAACTATGGTTAATGAATATCAGCAATTAAAAGAAAAAGAGAATCAATTACAGACTGAAAAAGTGAGATTTTATATTCTACTTTCAATTTATTATGAAATTAATTTTCTATTGTGATTCATTATTAGAAATTTCTTTTACCTTTTAAATAACTTTTTATGAAGTTTTTATTAATTATTTATAAACTTAGCATATTGTTTTGGAGAAATTTAAGTAACAACAGACCTTTTTCAATATTTTTCATTTTAAAAACAGATCTTTCACATTTTTTTAAAGATAATTAAATTTTAAAAAAACCTATTTAAAATCTTTTGAAAATTGTACCACATGTTTGAATTAAAATAAAACTGCAGATGACCATTACTTTGTTATTTTTCTTAAACATTATTGCAACATTAGCTATGATAACTCAGTGTTTAAGGCACTCGACTCTCATTATAAAGGACCAAGGATTAATGAAAAAATTAATTAAAGTTTTTTTTAACAAGATCTAGAACAAGAGAGAAGTACAGTAATATGAATTTATCATTTTACGTACCACCTACTTACCATGAATACTTAATTTTTATCAGTAATAAAATTAATTAATGTTTTGATTTAATTATTTTTTACACTAAAGAATCCATTTCAGTAAAGCATATAAAAAATATGGGCTTAACTTTCCTCTCGTTTTCATCCATTTGGAGTAAAGAAAAATTTATTTTATTTTACAATTTTAGTAATCATTATTAAATTTTTAAATTTAATCTTATGGTGTTAAAAAAATAACCCAAAATGATGAAAATTTGCCAATATTTTTTAATTTCATTCAAACACTATCCTTCAATATATGAAAAAAATATATACTTATTCCACTTTCAAAATTAGTTGCTCATATATTGTTAACTAATTAGAAAGTCTGACTCTTTGCAAACTGCAGACGACGTTAGGCATTTTTTGAGCCTCATGCAAAGGCACATAGCAATTTGATGTGAGGTTTGCAGTTTGCTAAGACGCGAATTCTCCAACTAGATCCATTAGCAGAAAACCTCCAGTACAGCAGTAAATGTTGCAGGAATGCACACCATCTGCACCTTAGATATTTAAAAAAAAAAATTATGAATTTAATGGAGAAATAATTGGCAGCAGAAAAAAACATCAAGTAAAAAGGACAAATAATACAAAAAAGAAAAGATTTTTCTATCTTTGTTTATGAAAAATAAGGAATAGTTTCAAATTTGATACCAACAAAGTTATTTAATGTTCATTTTTTCTAGTTACTATTCTTTTAGTTTGCTACGTTGTTATGATGATATGGTAATTAATTTTATTTGAAGTTTAAGATTTGGCACTAATCAGAACATACTAAATTACAATTATTTTAATTTCTTCCTTTAAAATGACCAGATTTCATATTACTATTGCAAACTAATCATTTCTTTCTGAGTTCTTTATAGGGCTTAGTATAAGCATCATTTTTTCTTTTCTCTTTCCCCTCCCCTCTTAGGCAAAGGTAAAGTATGAGTGCATAAAATTCAAATTAAATTTAAGTAACAAAGCTTTTGTGTGTATATTTATTGTTTGCAAGATATGCTTAAATCTATGTTTGATTAAACTTAATTTTTTACAATAATCTTTGCCTGACAAATCTGATGAAGCTGAATGCGCTAAGAATGGACTCTGTAAGTTTTGCCAATGAATCTGACATATTTATTTATTGATGGTCTTAAACTTGGATAAAAAAAACATCTCATAAAATGGCATAATTTTGAAATTCTTTTGTACATTTTTTACTATAATAATCTTTGCCTGACAAATCTGATGAAGCTGAATGCGCTAAGGATGGGCCCTAAATTTTGCCAATGAATCTGACATATTTATTTATTGATGGTCTTAAACTTTAATAAAAAGAACATCTCATAAAATGGTATAATTTGGAAATTATTTTGAGCATTTATGTTCTATTTATTTATCTAAAATTTTTATAATTAGGTAAATTTGGATCTTATGATTGCTACAAATAAAGAAAAATTGAGTGAATTGGATCAACTTATTTTATCATCCCCTGAAAAGATAAAAACTGATGTGCAAAAATTAAAAGATATGATAAAAGACGTTGACGAAAAAATCCTAGAAAAAGATCAAGAGAAAAAAGAGAAAAAGAAAGAAAATCAGAACCAAACATCTTCTCAAGAAGAATTACTGAAAATAAATGCGAAAATGGAAAAGCTTTACAGTGAAATTCAATCATTAATGTAAGTCTAATTTCAAATTTTATTGCTTTTTATATTATTTATTTTGGAAAGTTCTATGAAAGTAGAAGAGTATTTATTAGTAAAGAACTGCCATTAAGATATATAATATGATTTTGAACAAAAGACTGACAGTCAGAAAAACTATTAGTTCTTTTTAAAAACATTTTTATTTGAAAAGTAAGTCACAAACATTTATCTTGTGTGTTAATTTTTGGAATTTTTCAAAAGTGTTTTTTTTTTTATATAATCCGTATTATATTTATACATTGATTGTATATTAAGATTACAAATTTTATTCTTGTCATGTTAATTGTATTTCTAACATAGGAAAAGTATTGCAAATAGATAATTTGTTTTAAATTTTTACGTGATAGCTAAAATTTTCAGGGAGGGGGATGTAACATACAAAGTTTCAACTAATCTTTATGTTATTCCTATATCTAAATCTTTTTCATTTATTTTTCAAAACTAAACGCTTTCTAAAATTTATTTACATCCTCTTTTTCGTATTCTATATTTAGATCTCAAGTATGTATGAATAAACATTTACTAAGTTTGAGAAACATACTTTACCCTTGACCTGTTTAATGGACCAACATACTCAGGTTTCCCCTCTTTCCCTAAGAAGTACTATATTACAAGACTATTTTGCATAATTTTCTCTCATTTTTATTCAAGAGGTTAAATAAACATTAATGGCCTTTTTTTTCTCTCTTTCAGACTTTTTATCCTTCCCTTCCTCAAAAACTTTATATATAGGGAAACCTCATGTTACAACACTCTTACAAAACGAATGCCTCTCATTATGGTCACATTTCGCGTATATCCTTTATGAATAAACCATTGTGTGCTCTCTCTGCAAAGTGGACAGCTCGTAACTGGACTCAGACATTCTTTTATGACCGTAATGTTGTTATAAAAAAGAAGAAAAAATTACTTTACTGTATTCACTGTTATAAATTCTGAAAGCTAAATAGAAATTTTATGTGCTTTGCATTATTACCCAGAGTTGGCCTGGGCCGATACAATGAATTTCTTCCAACAACGGTAGTCATGCTTTTTTTTTTTCTCGATTAGTTACTTTTAATTTTTAGATGTCATCAAACGATTCCAATGGAGATCTTCCCCGTTTTCTAATTACCCCTAGATTGTTGAATGTTAAAAGCTCTGTGGAGTTGTAATCTTCCATTAAAAACAAGTGACCACAATACTTTATTTGACTTTTTCTATGCTTTGTTGCTTATATCAGCGGTTCCCAATTTTTTTCAGCCACAGAACCCTAAACAGTCAAATAACCTTTTGGTGGACTAAATAAAAGTAATTCAGTAACATAATTTGTGAATGAAGTTTTTTCTTAGTTTCATCAATAAGTCTTAAAATTTTATTTTATGTTAAGCAGTTAAAATCCTAAGTCTGTAGAGGCTACATTTTTTCCTGTGTAAGTTAAATCTAGTAGTTTTTGCCCTTCAAGGGAAAATTGCATAAAATAAAGCTAAATTATAATTTTGAATAAGAATTGTTATAAATTGTGAGAAAGGTAATTCAGTAACATATTTTGTGAATGAAGTTTTTTTGTAGTTTCATCAATAAGTCTTAAAATTTTATTTTCAAGTCTGTAGCGGCTACATTTTTTCCTGTGTAAAATAAATCTAGTAGTTTTTGCCCTTCCAGTTAAAATTTAATAAAATAAAGCTAAATTATAATTTTGATTAAGAATTGTTATAAATTATGAGAAAGGTTGTGAGAGAAAACTTATTTATTTTAGAATTTGGTTATTTTATTTTAAATTTCAAAATTCAATGTGAGATACTGGTGCAATATTTTGTAAAAGCATATCCCTTAGCAATTTATTCAGAATATGTATTGTTATTGCGAAAAAATATTTTTTTTAATTTATTGCAATTTTACTTATATAATTTCATAAAAATAACCTTGCTGTGAAACAAATGATGGGTTATTGGTTGGATACAAACCTGTGACAGGTTTCAAAAAATCATTTCTGGCTAAAAGAAAATGTCCTAACTCACGGAACTCCTGTGGCTTTTCCACAGTACCCTATGGTTTCGCGGAACACTATTCAAAGACCACGGACATCAATGTAATTTTCTTAATGAATTGGCATCTATGTACTGCTTCAATTTTTAAAATTAGTGTGTATTGTTATTGACTTAATCATAGAGAAGGGAAAAAAACAGCCATTCAAGATATACTAGTTATTTTTCCCACTATAAGTGATATTTCACATAAATGCAATTTTAATTAAAACAGAAAAACTGGTTTTTCTACACTAGAAATGATGGGATGATGAAAGCATTTTGTCAATCATTTTTTAAGTGTCTAACGTTTTAAGCTTTTTTTTTTTTTTTTTTTTTTTTTTTTTTTTTTTTTTTTNTTTTTTTTTTTTTTTTTTTTTTTGTAGAATAAATATTTATAAAGTAAAATAGTTATGCATATTGAATTTTAGATAAATGTATGAATGTTTTTTATTTTATTTCCTAATTTTTTTCAGGGAATTTATTCAAACTCTATCCTCAGTGAATGATAAGTGCGTAGAAGAGAATAAAGAACTTCAAGAATTGCAATCAGCTCTGGAAACAAAAGAAGATATGGCTAATTTTTATGATGAGAAGGGTGCTAAGATTCTTAACCTTAAAAAGAAGCAGATTGAAGAAATTAATGGAACTTATGACATGCTGCAAAGGTATTTATTTATTCTGTTAAAATATTGTTTAACTTCCAATGAGTTCATCTTTACCAGTGTTATGTAAGAAAGATAGGTTGTTTTTATTTTAAAAAATAATGATAAGTATGAATCCTGGAGATGGCCAAATAATTAATTCAATGCTTTTCAGTTTTTAAAATAAAAACTAAATCTTATACAGATCAATTTATCTCATGAAGATAACAATACTTAAATAAAAAAAATTTTAACATTTTTATATTTTATACACTATAATTAAAAGAACTGTAGTTAATTGCCGTAAATTTCAAAAGAATACAATTTGTTCTCTCAACTTTTATTTAAATAATCATGTTGTAACTTGAAAAATATGCATGTATTCTTCAAAAAGCAAAAAATATTACTGTGCAAATAAAATTTTTTATTATAGTTGACTTTAATCCATATCTAAGTGAAAACTGGGAATAAATTGAGAACACGTTTGCTAATACTATCAATTTATTTTAAATAGTACTGATTACTAAAATTAATTAAGCATCATTGGCTTAAATAATAGTATGGCAATTTTTTACTTTTCTCTTGAACGAATTAGTACCATATCTCTAATAATTTTGCTTTTTAGTACATAGTTTTTATTACAATTAATACCTTTTACCAAAATTTATATAACATCGTAGGCGTCAATAATAGTATGATGATTTACTAGGCTTCTCCTAATTGAATTGGTATCATTTAATTGTGCTTTTCAGTACATAATTTATTCAGTACATAGTACCGTTGATTTTAAATTAATAAATTTTATAGAAGTACGGTTAAAAAGCATAATTATAAAAAAATAATCATAATTTCAGATTACTTTAGGAATACTAGTTTGGTGACAAAGTCCACCTATACTACTACTAAGCTCACATTGATCATTTAGTTTATCTGATTTATTCAATAAAAAAATAAATGTCTAAGAACGTGCAATAAGCAATGTGCAACAATTTTTTTAGTAATGGGAGCTATAAGCTAACATCACTGACACTATCTTTGAAATTGTCAGCACTTTCTTTTGTATTAATCTTGCTAGCTCTAAACCATAGGTTCCCGAAGTGGTCCAGGTGGACCCCCAGGGGTCCATAGGAGACCACACGGGGGTCCACGTAGACGTGAAGCGAAAACAGGGGTTCACAAGTTGCAAGTGGGGGTCCACGAAACATTTTCTGGTTTTCATAGTAAAGAACAAAAATTTTGGCTTGGATTTACTTATCAACGTAGGCAGGTAGCATCATTCTCTAGGTAGGTATTCTATTTTATTTTATAACCGTCGTTAAACAGCCGACCCAATTTAATGGATTTACAACTACTAATGTTCAACTCCGTAGCCTTGTAATTTTGAACCAATCCAGAAGACAAGGAAACTCTTAGATCAGTACCCCCAGAGGTATTGATTTGTTATGGGAACATGGAGGACTTTGAGACTCGTCAGATTTAACGTGCATCAGTCACCATTTACTACACGGGGAGTCTTCGGCCGGCGAGGATCGAACCCACGACCTCTTGGACTTGGGCCCAGTGCCCTACCGACCAGGCTATCCCAGCCCTCTAGGTAGGTATTCAAAAATATTCGAGACTCAGTTCAAACACAGAATTGAATAGATAATAGTACAAGTGTACACCACATGTCGAGACTTGCAAAGTGCCACCCGTGCGCCCGCTCGCATTTAAATACCCAGCATGATGACTTCAAAAATATATTTGAAGATATTCTGACGATGGAAATATCACCATGGATCATAACCCCATTTGATGAAACGGAAGAGGCGAATGTGGTATTACAAAAGGAGCTACTTGAGCTCAGCACCAACGAGGAACTGAAGGTGAAATTAAAAAAAGAATATCAAACATTTTGACTGCAGGCAGAAATCCCCGAAAAATATCCTGGGTTGTGGGAAAATGCGAGAAAATTTTTGATAGCGTTTCTCTCGTCATATCTTGTCGAAAGAAGTTTTAGTGCCGTTACCAACCTGTTAACAAAAAAAAGGAGCAGATTGAACATCACAGAACGGGGAGATTTGAGATTACTTCTTACAAAACTGAAGCCAAATATTCATAATTTGCTGTCAATTCATCAAGTACATCCGTCTCATTAAAAGTATGACTATTTTTTATTGTTGATTTACATTTCAGAGTTCATTGTTGATTTTTTGTCAATTGTTGATTGCTTGTAATAATAAATGTGCATAATTTTGTATTAGCACAAGTATTATTTTAATAAATAGGACAC